GTCAGTATAAATGTATATCCTTTTTTGGTTTAATGATGCCTTGAATCTTCTTAAATCCCCACAGACCCCACGTGATTTTTTCTCGATGTAATTTGTCTTTTTTGTTGGGAAACATCGGAAAACAAATCCATCTTTGGTTCGCACCTCGACGTCAGCCCCTTCAGCCAATGCTGCAATCATCGGGCTCGAGCGTTGCATCTGTTGGGCGAAACGCTGCAAGACGGACCTGAGGTCAGGTAGAACAAGCATGAAAAAGCAACTGGGATGTAATTAACAAACGCTGGAATCTGGATTCATTTTTTAAAAAATCTCGAACACACATTGGGATTAAACATGACTTAACCATCAACAGTTGAGATTGATCCAGCAAATATGAGGATATACAGTAATCATGTATAGTAATGATTGTATGACATGGGCATGCACTGGTGGTCTAAGACTTACAAGATACTTTTTGGCCAATGGAACGTATCTACCCAAGTTGGGCTATGCTTGGTTCTGACCCATGTCCATATTATTCCATACTATTGATACTGTAGCTGTGATGAACCTGTGCTGAACATCATCAATAACCAGGCAAAAACATAAGAAATCCCATTGGATGCCAAGCAGGAGTCCCTTGAAGTGACTAGGAAGTCAACATTTTCCATGCTGATTCGCTCGGTGACCCATAACATTGTTAGTTGAATACCTTCGTTGATTTCAAGCCTTTAACTGATATATATATATATATGTATATATATATATATTACATAATATTTATATGACCTCACCCTTCATGGATCATCTTACCATCTAGGGCTTGTGTCAGAGACCCAAACATCCAATCAGTTGTCATCATTTTCCACAATCAAAATATTGTAAAATGAGAGTCCATATCTCGTTTTGAGACAAATCCAGATCTTGCCATGTTGCACATACATGCATGATGGATGTTGATGGTTCAGTCCCCGTTGTTAATACGTACTCTATGGCAACTGTTCATACAGGATGGGGCCCCATAGTCCCATAGTTAGCTAAGTTGGTTTATAACTATAGTATACTATAGTAAGAATAGTGTATGATACTTAAAACATCTTATAACTATATTTAGATGGGGTCATAAACCAACTTATAACTGGGGGGCCCCATCCTGTACCGCTATAGAAAAACACAATCACCGGTCAATCACCTTGTTAATAGGCAAATCATCAAACTCCACTAGGAAAAGACCAACAATAAGAAAAAGTACAAACAACACTGGTTGGTGGTATACCTACCCCTCTGAAAAATATGAAAGTCACTTGGAATGATGACATTCCCAAAATATGGCAAGTCATAAAATTCCATGGTCCCAAACCACCAACCAGTCATGGTTCAGCCGCATCCCTCCACCAGCCCATCCGCCATGCGTCCGCTCCATCTGTGCGCCGCGCGCCGCGAAGTGCAGCTGACCGAAGCAGGCGCCGTCGAGGCGTCGCTGGGCGGCGATGGAGGCGTCCAGCAGCGACCAACAGAGGGACCAGTGCTGGGAGAGGCTCAAGGCTTCGAGCAACATACCTTGCTGGTTGGTGGTGGTTAATCCATCTGTTAATCCACCACTAACTTCCCCAGAATCCCCAAATGATGGATTAACCATGATTAACCAATGGCTGGTTGGTGGTTTTAACCATCTTGAAAAATATGAAAGTCAGTTGGGATGATTATTCCCAATATATGAAAAATAACAAATTATTCAAACCATCAACCAACTTGGAAAAACATTGGAAAATGATGGACAAAATGGTGAACATGACGAAACATCCTGGACAAATTATGGACACAAACTGTGATTTCACCATGAAAAATGAGTGATTTTCAGCAACGGGGCATCTTCCCAGGCTCCAATCTTAACCAACAAGGACAAAACATGGGTCATGGGTCATCTCCACAGCCAATTAAAAAAAGTATCTTTAATGGAACAAACATATGAACAACATCTATCAATGGAGTTTTTTTGGGCATGGCAGCATGGCATCCCCAGAGGTTTGGGAGGTAAGATCCCATGAAAGTATGCTGTGGTGCCTTGAAATGCCATCCTCATGGTCTGACTGGATCAACAAAGCTGGTTGGTTGGAGCTTGAGGGTGGAATTCGCCTCATTTGGAGGATAACCATTCACCACCAGGGATTTTAGGCGTTGCTTGGGGAAGAACGACGAGATCTTCAATATGGCCACTTTGAATCATCAGCATCTACTTTTTCTGGTCGTAAGAAGGGATACCCGAGACCATTGATCCATGGGCCGTGCTGGGCCACCAAGCTGAGCATTCATCAGAGAACCATGGCAGCATTTTTAGCCGTACTACAACTTGGAGGGGTACTTCATGGCAGATATTAGGTGATATTACGAATTAGTACATCCACAATTTCCCCCGGTTTCTCTTTGACTGGTCACTTACATTTTCTGCGCGCATGCTGTCCTGCAGGTCAAGTGGATGTTTCAGGTTCAAATCCCATATGGCTCCGGTGGGCCCAGGTAGCACACTCGACATCACCGAGTCGGACAATGCATTTGACTCCTCCAAAATACTCAATAAATAATGCTGAAATGGCAGGCAAAACTGTTTCTATACAAAACCCAACACACATGACTTGACAAGAGATTGAAACCCTATTCAAACATTCGTAGTGCAAATGACTCCACCTTAAAGGAGAAAAACACAATGCTTTTCCAACGTCAGACAGTATCAATGGTTTTGCCTTCCATTTGCTGATGTCATGTTCGTCCTTTTTCATATCATGATTAACTCCCAACTTATATATATATATATATATAATGTGTATATGTATAAATTTTAAAAAAATATATACAGATCATCTATACGGCCATATACATATTATCTCATAGATATACAATATAAATATATATATCCTATTAATCTAGTATATATATGTAATTCCTATTAATCTATTATATATATATATAGAATTATACCATACATAAAAATATAGTATTTTAACATATATATATATACATATTATCATATAATATAAAACATATGAAATATAATATGAAATATATAATGTATAATATATAATAAATAAAATATAATATGAAATATGCTATATAATACATAATACACAATATATGATATATAATAAATAAACAAAAATATATAATAACACAAATATGTATATATATATATATATGAAGGTTTCCTAATCTGGAGGTAATTACTCCCACATCATCCAAGTCACTAGGCCAGTTTAGTGTTAAAACAACCATGGTGACTTCGGTTACCCACCCATTTCAAGACACCCCATATAACAATGGTATGATAATTGATGGGGTATGATACATATATATATATATATGTGTGTATATATAAATATATATTGTCAATTAAAACGACAAATATAATTATACATACAATCTATACACTAGTCATACATACATACATACATACATCCATTCCATTGCATAGCATAGCATTGCATTTCTAACATACATACATAACATAACATAACATACATACATAACATAACATAACATAACATAACATTACATTACATTAAATTACATTACATTACATTGCATACACATACACATATATACATATACATGTATATATCCCATGTTTTTGCTTCATCCCCTAACGGCCCTTGTGTCCTGTGCCGGCCGCAGCAGTTCCTCGCCACGCCGTCCCAGCGCCTCCAGCGTTCTCGCTGTCCCTGTCGCTGTGCGCGCCAGGGACCAGCAAAGGGTGCAGAGAGCGTCGGGGCGAAACTGGAGCACCTTACCTTGGTGGAAATCCCTGGAAATGGCTGGGTTTTTCCCCACCTGCCAGGTGAGGGTTCTTAGATTTTATCAGAGTTGTTCTTCTCCTCCTCGGCTAGCTGTCCTCCTTCTCCTCCTCCTTCTCCTCCTCCTCCGCCTGCGCCTCCTCCTCAAGTTTCTCCTCGACCATGTCTGCATCAACTTCCACCTCCACTTCCGCCCTCAACATGGAACCTGCCCAGCTCAGTGTGCACCGCTGGACCTCAACCTGGGACCTGCCCAGCTCAGTGTGCACCGCTGGACCTCAACCTGGGACCTTCCCAGCTCAGTGTGCACCGCTGGACCTCAAACTGGGGCCTGCCCAGCTCAGTGTGCACCGCTGGACCTCAACGGCCAGATAGAATGCCAGAAGATATGCCAGATAGAATGTCAGATAGAATGCCAGAAAATATGCCATGCCATAAAATGCCAGATATAAGATATGCCAGATAGAATGCCAGAATGCCAGATAGATGCCAGATAAATGCCAGAAGATATGCCAGATAGAATGCCAGAAGGTATGCCAGATAGAATGCCAGATAAAATGTCAGATCAGAAGATATGCCAGAAGATTATGCCAGAATAAAATGCCAGAAGATATGCCAGATAGAATGCCAGATAGATTATGCCAGATGCCAGATATGCCAGAAGATATGCCAGATAGAATGCCAGAAGATATGCCAGAGATAATGCCAGAAGATATGCCAGATAGAATGCCAGAAGATATGCCAGATAGAATGCCAGAAGATATGCCAGATAGAATGCCAGAAGATATGCCAGATAGAATGCCAGAAGTAAGATATGCCAGATAGAATGCCAGAAGATTTATGCCAGATAGATATGCCAGAAGATAGAATGCCAGATAGAATGCCAGAAGATATATGCCAGAACATATGTCAGATAGAATGCCAGAAGATATGCCAGAACATATGCCAGAACATATGCCAGATAGAATGCCAGAAGATATGTCAGATAGAATGCCAGAAGATATGCCAGATAGAATGCCAGAAGATATGTCAGATAGAATGCCAGAAGATATGCCAGAAGATATGCCAGATAGAATGCCAGAAGATATGTCAGATAGAATGCCAGAAGATTTGCCAGTAAGAAAATCTATAAATGTCATGGCGGGGATCACACGAAGTAAAGTAATTTGAGTTTTTTTTTGGGAAATCACTGGAAATTACTGGATCAAGATGGCTACGACTCAGAGTGACTGGATCATGATTTCTGGGTGCCCGCAGTTATGAAACGCTTGGTTACTAGATGACTTCGAAATGCAATAAGCACCATACACTATTGTTTTAGTTAACTAAGTTAGCTAACTATGGGGCCCCATCCTGTTCGTATAGCTGCTTTTTTTCGAGCTTTCTGCTTTCTCTTGGAAATCATTGGGCCCACTCAGATCATCGAAATGAACATGGGAAACATTAGTGATTTCTGAACATGGTGCTGCTGCTGGGATACATTTTTTTCGGGGTTCATGCAGTGATCAAATTGTGTTCGGTGCCAGCGAGTTATCGCCAGCGTGGATTGCCAGTATCCGGTAACCCTACGGTGATCATTGCCACGTGTTCGATGACACCAGAGGCTAAGTAACTGATCAATCCAAGAGACGAAACCAATTAAAACACATTGAAACTCCATTAGAATCCCATGAAGCTATATTTAAATCCCACTAGAATCCAATAGAAAATAGTGAAACATCATAAAACTATATAAATCCCATAAAACATCATTAAAGTATATATATATATTTCATATTTAAATTCCCTTAGAATCCCTTTAACATCCTTTAACTGTTCTCCAAGTGGCCCAGGGCTTCCCTTTGGATCACCCGCATCAGCTCTTCATGGCGCAGCCGCAGCGCGGCAAAGCTTCACGCGACGTTCGCCAAATGCTGCGCCTCGAACTCCGTCGCCGGCGCCCGCGAAGCCAGGCGCATCAGCAGCGGTAGGGGTCTTTCCCGCAAGGTGCTTAGGGACCAAACCAAGTTGGACACGTCTTGTGGTTGGATCCTCAATTTGGGGAGAGGTTGCAACTGAGAACAGAAGGGAAAATCGGGGATTTTGACGCTTTTGGATTTGTTGCTGGTTAGATTCGGTGACTTTTACGCTCAACTCATGTTGAATCAAGGCTGTTGTGGGTCAACCGGTCAACGCATTCAGTCAGACATGATTAGAAGTGGCAAATGTGCGAAAACCAGAGACGGAAAGGATTCCACAACAAACTGTTAGTTCAACAACACTTGCACCCCCAAACAATCGTATACACACCTCTAACAATTTGCGTTGGCACTGACTGACTGTAAAAAAAGGAAGAACCACTTCGCTGCTTGCAGGGTGTCTACCTGGCTCTACTGGTTGTGCATTCCCAAACATATTAGGCCATGAGGGATCATAATCACAGTACAAGAAACATCTGGAAGTATCAACCAGATATCACTTGCTAACATGATCTACCATGATATTTCGGGGGTGCCCCAGTTCGGAATTGCTAAGTTGGTGAACTTTTCATTCAATCATATGGCCGGGTTTTGTGGTAGATTTGTCTCTACTTCATGGGATCTAAATGCCAATAAAAAAAAACTCGGGGAACCATCTTGTAACCATCATTTTCTGGTTGGTGGTTTTACCCATCTTGAAAAATATGAAAGTCAATGGGAAGGATTATCCCATATATTATGGAACATTAAAAAAAATGAAACCACCAACAATCATTTTAGATATGTTTTTGTAGATCAACCTCTATGCCATGCCCAGCGTCTGTCTCTTCTCGCTGCATCCTTCGCATCGGGCCATCATCTCGCCTTCAACGACCTTCAACAACGTCAAGTCCAAGCACTGCAAGGTGGCAGAAGTCCAAACCTCACAGCAATGGAGCACAGGTACGGGCGCCAAAATCAATGATGGGTATCCTCCGGTGTCATCAAACATGGCTAGGGGGGAAATTCCTTCAACATTGAGGTTGTAATGGGAAATCAACGATACATGGCGGATTTTCCATTGCCATGTATTGTTTCTTTGATTTTGCTTGGCAAATGTCTAAAAGAAGGGGGGTTGGCCATCATTCTTTTGCAATTTGTTTGCCAATAATAGGGCAAATGGTGATCAACCAGAACAATCTATAACATGAGTTTTTTGCAAATTTCCAAACAAACCATTTGGGGGGGGACAAACCAAAAAAGTGGCGCTCAGGGTATTTCCCTGGTTGCAGGTTGGCAAGTCGTGGGTTTGTCAGTCATGAAAGATCAACGAACAAAATATGAAAATCAAGAATAGCCTCCGGTAAACTAACAGTTTGCTATCGAAAATGAACCATTTAATTATATATAGTATATTATAGTTGATTTACCTAGTAAAAGTATCTAAAAGTGCTGATTTTCCATAGTTATGTAAACGTTTACCAGAGTGTAACGACCTCACCAGGGATTTCAGAAATCGTCTCCATTCCCCAGAGATCGAATCACGGCATGCAACGCTGTTCACCAGTTCCTGCACTTTGAAGTTCCTACAGTTCACTGCAATCCGTTTGGAAAAGGTGTCCAACAGCGGCTGGTCGTAATGCTTCAATTTCCTGGCGATGTAAAACAGAAGCTGCTACGGTTGAGCCACATCCCTCCAGATAATCAATTTAGACTATCATTCACAAAGACTGCCAAGATCCATGTCATATACTTCAAAATTTATAAACCACAGTTTCATAATGACTTAAACATATTTAAAATTTAAAGCCTTCCCACAGTTTTTTCCCGATATCCCCAATATATTTCCAATAAACCAAGTAGTAAACAAAATATATTCCCATTGTATGATCAAAAAATCTGGAACGAACCAGTGGATTGGAGCCGATTTATTGTACACGCATATACATATATCTATGTATATAAACATATCTATATATCAATATAAGCATATATATATATATGTATTAGATCCCGATTGTATCCCATGAATCTCCAATCATCTTCCCATGGTGAATCTTAGATACCTGCAAGAAGGTCTAATTTTTAACTCGTTAGATCTGGTTTGGACTAAGTTTACCTTTGATAACAAAAGATTAGTTAGTACTAGTTAGTATCTTACACATGTTGACCCAGTAACATGTTGGCCTCTTAGATTGGCTACAAAAGCAGTATCTGAAAATATTAAAGATCCCCATTCATATATATATATACACATATGTCATTATATATATATAACTATATATAATTGTGTATGTATATGTATATATATATATATTATAGTAATTAGATCCCCATGAATACCCTCTGGTAAACTAACATAACTATGGAAAATCACCATTTTTCATGGGAAAACTCACTATAAATGGTGATTTTCCATAGTTATGTTAGTTTACCAGAGGGTATCCCATGAATCTCCAATCGTCCTGAGTGTCCACAAGCTATTCGCCACGCCCTGTGGATTCATCTCCGCCGCTCTCCGCTGTGCTGCCGCTGCCAGCGTGGCGACGTGGCCGACGTGGCCGCGGTGGCCGCGGTCGTCCAGGAGGAGCTTGGCGAAGGCCCAGACCTGGTTGAGGTTTCTGGTGATTTCACGGGGATTTATATTTCTGGGTAAATTATCATATTTCACTAACCTGAATTAAGGCCATTTGGGGATGATTTCCCTAACATTCACCATGATTTCCAGTGAGGTTGCGACGTGAGGTCGTTATAATTTACCCAGATATTTATATCCCCAACATAAAAAAAACCTATGGGATATCCCCATTACACAACATGTTCATAAATTTTTTTTATATATCCCCATGAATGGGATATGTTCACCATTATCCCCAACATTTAATGATGTTTAATGATGTTTAATGATGTTTAATGATGTTTAATGATGTTTAATGATGTTTAATGATGTTTAATGGGGATAAATATGATTATAAACATCATTAAACATCATTAAACTGCGATTTGATGGGGGTTCAGATATTCTAAGTATCAGCAACATGGTGATCATATTGCCGTATTGATGAGAAAAACCCTGGATATAACTGATGAACATCACCTGGTTGGTTAATGACTAGTTCGGGCACTATACTAACCAATACCATGGGGGATACAATGTGAGGCCCCCGAGTGATGTTAGTTGGTTTATAAGCCCCATTAACTATAGTTATAAGTACCATAAACCATAGGGAGTTATAACCAACTTAGCTATCTTGGGGGCCTCACATTGTAGAATATAATGGAACATAGTGGGCGGGAATACAAAACCAACAATCTGATACCTGAGCACTGGCTGCTAAACGCGACATGTAGTCCTTAATTTATACTGGCTGGTTAAGAACGGATTTTCCCATTTCATGGATTGTGATAATCCCCAATACCCATAGGATCCATGGTGCTGGTATAGATGCTAACATAAAGGGGGTATATTGATGGGATCCATGTTGCCATATATAGCATACATTTGGGTAAATTATCATATTTCACAAACCTGAATTAAGGCCATTTGGGGGTGATTTCCCTAACATTCACCATGATTTCCAGTGAGGTCGCGATGTGAGGTCGTTATAATTTACCCAGATACATGGATCCTATGGGATATATAATCATCCAGCCATTCATCCCCGATATCATGCCAGGTCACGACGTTGCCAAGACTCCGAGGCTCCAGTTCCTCTACCCGAGTCACCACCAACGTCAAGGCAAAAGCTGAGGGACCTGCCGGTGGCAAACAGCACACAGAAAGCGATATTTCTTGGACAAGATGGTGCCCCATAGTTAGCTAAGTTGGTGAAGATAACTCCAATAACTATGGTTTATGGTAAATATATCTATACTTACCATGATTTGTAAACCAACTTATGATCTTATAACTGGGGGCACCACCTTGGAGGTACCTAGCCATTTTATAAAAGTCGATATGGAGTCTATGGGCTAAAGGGATAGGATATACCTCCATGAGTGTCGTTGGTTCCATTGGTTGTCGTTGGTCGCTTGATTTTATCATTCCGCGCCACCCCGTTGTGTTAGTTGGTTTAGATTCACCCCATGAATACTATGTAGTTAGGTATATATATATATATGTAAATGTATATGCAAGTATCATAAACTATAGAGACATTGGAGTTATGATCACCAACTTCGCTACAACTAGATTTAAATACACGGACTCTTAACTATACGAGTTGGAATTTTAGACTACCTCCGGGAAAGCCTTACTGGGCCCGTCAGCCCATTTAAACATACGGAATTCAATTTATTTTAGATAGATACTAACACATTCAAATGCATATATAGTATATATATATATATCATTATATATGTATATACGGATGGAACTTGTGTTCATACTACCTCCGGGGCCTCGTGGTCTGGCCTGCCCTCCACATATTTACTGCAATCAATCCCATGAAATCCCCTGAAATCCTATGGTTCCTATGGTTTCTATCGTTACGGGGTCCCAATAAAACCATCCCATACACCATAGGATCCATGGTGCTGGTATATTAATGCTAACATAAAGGGGGTATATTGATGGGATCCATGGCACACCATATATAGCAGCACCAGCCGGATCCTATGGGTACACCTTTTCCAACCCTTTGATTTCAAAGTCATGTGGCCCTTTCTGCGCAATCGAGCAAACTCTCACGAGATGTTGGCCAGCTGCTGAGGTGAAAAGTCACTGTAACTAATGGATCGCTCAAGGTGGAGGAGGAGCGGATGATGCGTCACGTTGTTGCTGGCAAGGGACCAGGCCAAGTCGACTAAGGCCTCAGCAGATAGCAGGATGGGAGCTCTGTGGATGTTTGGCCGAATGATATATATCAAATAGTTTAATTATTCAGTTATTTATTGCATTAATTATATTAATTATATTTGGCAAACTTATTCTGGTAGATGCAACATGATGCAACCAGTTCATCACAGTTCTTCGGGTTCAGAGAGAGGCACAGTGGAATAAACCAGTCGCTTTGCGGCAACTTATTCACCGCTGATGAGGCTGGCAAAACGACCTTGGAACGGTTTACGATTCAACAATCCTACCCTCTGTGAATTTAAGAGACGGGAAAATCATCACTAGAAATTATAGGTAAAACATTATAGATTTAAACTCATATATATATATATATGATTATATATGTTTATCATGTATTTCTATGGGCCGTAGCTTCGCCATGTGATAACCAGAGTCCTTGGGATGGCTGCCCACTCCCCGAGTTTTCCAGGCTGCGTCCCAGCAACTTGCGGCGCCTGTCGCTGGCGACCAAGATGTTGGTGTCTTGGTGCCGTCTACCCAGAACAGTCCCCTGTTGAGCTTGTGAAAACCATAGGAACATGGGAACATCATAGGAAAACCATAGGAAAATGATGATTTTACCCTCTGGTAAGCTAACATAGCTATTGAAAATGGCCATAGAAAAATAGTGAGTTTTCCCATTAAACATGGTGATTTTCAATAGCTATGTTACTTTATCAAAGGGTATCTTGTTCTATGTTTTTTTTTGCCAGAAAGTTAAATCACCTCAAAACAGAAAGGACCCAAATCTGATCAGTGGGCGAGCCCAGGCTGTTAGGAGATGGCCGTGGATGGCTTCAAACATCACTGAGGGGGCCGCACATTGTATACCTTATCATATCCATCACTAACCATTAATCATTATTGATCATTATTAATCACTATTAATCATTATTAATCAGTATTAAGATTATTGATCATTATTAATCACTATTAATCATTATTAAGATTATTAATTTATTAATCATTATGAATCATTATTGATCATTATTGATCATTGTTAATCATGATTAATCATGATTAATCATTTATGCATTATCAACTGTTATTAACTCTTATATTCGATATATATATATAGATTAATATCTAAATCTATCCATCTTAACTTTCCCTGTTTCCAGGTGGATTTTCCGACCTGGGCGACCTGGGTGGCATCTCACCTGAGTGCACCGAGAAACGTTGGAGGCGCCGATTACCCATGGTGGCAACCCATGGTGCTGAGGTATGAATCCCAACATTTACCCCATCAATGGCCCAGTTTTGTAGGTAAATAATGGTAACTATACTATACATGGAGCATATGGCTATTCCAAATTACAAACATATATATGGTTGGTGCAAAAAAACCTACTGTACCCCTCTGAAAAATATGAAAGGCATTTGGGATACTTATTCCCAATATATGGACAGGTAAAAGCCATGTTCCAAACCACCAACCAGATATAATGCATTATATATGTGCAATATCCATGTTTATCATTGTGTATTATCAACTATCCGATTCCACATAGCAAATCCATCATCACGGACTGGGCGCAGTGGGCGCAGTGGGCGCAGTGCGCCAAGTCACAGGCGGTTCGCCTTAGAGCTTGAACCTTGACTCAACGCTCGTGCCGGAAGCTACCAGCGTTTCTCCTGCGGCAGGACTTGCAAAAAACCGTGGATGGAGCATGACACCTAGCACCCAAACCGGCTACGCTTGATTCCGCTTGGTGGTCGTTGCAAGGCATGACACTTCTTCAAATGAGTTGTGGCTTGTGGTGCTTTTTTTTACTACCCCATCGAGGCAAGAATTCATAGAACCCTAGACATACCTTTTTCAAAGGATCTCAACCACCCCGTGGCCGGAAAACCATCAGATAAAAGCCCGAAAACATCGTGGTTGGTATGTATATTACATATTATATGTACACAGTATTGCTTCGCAGTATATACACGTATATCCAAACATTTACTGGTTGGTGGTATTGGGATTATGAACTTCTCAACTGTTTCTGGAAACTCATAAAATTCCCTGGTTCCAAACCACCAACCAGTGGTTTTTCAATTTTTTCATGGGTCAGGAGCTATTCCTAGACCTCCTCGAAAAAGGGGATGCACTCTATTCCTCCAGGAATAGGTCTAGGAATAGGATGGTTGGTGCATTTTAAAGGGTATGCTATTCCTATTCCTCCAGGTTCAAAAACCAATGTTGGTTAGTTAAAAAGGGGATGCTATTCCTGTTCCATAGGATCCATGGTGCTGGTATATATGCTAACATAAAGGGGGTATATTGATGGGATCCATGTTACCATATATAGCATTATATAGCAGCACCATGGATCCTATGCGTATTCCTCCTTTGTTTAACCAACCAGTGGGATTTCACCGGGATCCATCCTGCCATGGTGCCAGCCGCGCCAGCCGCGCCATGGGGCGGAGGTCGCGGGGGCTGTTTGTTGCCGTGGTACCACGATCGAAACCATGGGAAAACCATCGGAAAACCATAGGAAAATGATGATTTAATTAATGGGATTTATAGCTGATTTATGATAGCTAAGTTGGTGAGTTTAGAACTCCAATATCACTATCATACTGGAAAAAAAAACTATAATTAGTATTCATGGCTTGAATCCAAACCAACATTCCACCGCGGGTCCACATTGTATGACCTCGACTTCACCGGTAACTCACCATCTAGAAACTCTCTCAAAACTGCCAATCTCATCCAATCTCCAAAAATTCACTGCAGGGCTTCATGTTGAACTTGGAGGGTTCCTCCCTTCGTAGACCGTTCCGCCGACCGTGTTCCGCTGAGCTTCCCGAGCCGCCAACGTGCAGATGGAAGCCCAGCGGATGAGGTCCATCCGTGTCAGGAAGGGGAGAGCCACCAGGACCTACGGCGCTACGGCCGCGGAGGGACGAATAGACCACCAACGCTACCGGTTTGTAGTGGCATATTATACTGGTATACTTTGCATATAGCAATAGTATGTCGATGTTGATAGATTTGGGATGAATTTCGAACATGGAAAAACAGTAATACATAAATAAATAAATAAATAAACAAATAAATAAACAGATGAATAAATAAATAAATAATACATAAAATTATATATATATATATATAAACATATACGTTATCAACTTTAGGCACTTTTGGTGAATTCTGTCGATCCAGATAGATCCACCCTTTTGACCAGTAACATTTTAGCTAGATGCCACTGGTTGTTGTCATTCATTATCTGGATACATGTCTTTTTTAATACCCAACATGTTGCGATGTTGCCGATTCTGTGTCTTTGACCAAAAACAATCGACCCCGGGATGGGCATTACCGTATACCAATTGACCAACCAGTGATCAAACTGCACAACAGATCCGGAAGTTTGACCAATAGTATCGTTGATACCATCGCTCATTGATCATGGCTATCTTTTAGCCTGCAATGTGGGGCCTCCAGATGTTCTGAATGTTGGTTTAATGTAAGATGTTCTAACCCATAGGATCCATGTATGCTATATATATATATTAACATTTGGGGTATATTGATGGGGTCCATGTTACCATATATAGCATTATATAGCATGCATGGATCCTATGGGTAAGTACTCTAAGTACCATAAACATCCGTAAACCATCGTGACCTTGGAGTTATCAACCAACTCCTTGGCGATTTGGCCCCTCCGCCCAACGAGACCGAGATCTCCGACGATCAGGAAGCTGTTCCCCAGCAAGGTGCTCCACCTGAGAGAAAATGTGCCTTTTCTCATAGGAAATTGGGAAAATCATCGAAGTATTGAGTAATTAAATGGGCAATTTTCATCAATTTTCCACCAGCTATGTTCGGTTACTGGAGGCTAATCTAGACACCCAAAAAAACTGAGTGGGACAAGATGAAGTGAGCATTGATCATTAATCATTTCATTATCATTATCCAACAGAAAAGAACATGAGACAAGCATCAAACCAAGGGGAAGTCTTTTAAGATACCTGGATGGTGATCGTTTTCAGATGATATAGTTTCACACTTGTTGCAAGGCCGTCAAGCATGCCAGGATTGAATGCTTCGTCCTATTTCATTCACTGCACGGCAGGCAATATGATAAACACGCGGCCCCTTAGCACAACCACCTTGGGGCCCAATTACCAGGTTCCATCTATTGCGGTGCAATTTCTGAGAAACACGTGCTTTCGTTAAATGACGAACAAGAGAGTTCTTTCAAGATGGAATACTTGTAATAATGTTGGGTCCAATCATGGTCTTTTTTGTCTTTCTCAACACAGGAAATAGGCAGAGTAGGCAGAATGAAGCGGGGACCAAGGTCGACCAGGGATAGAAGTGACGTATGTGTGGACCATTCGAAACTCACCCAATCATTGATTGTCAACCACAGATGCAATAACACATTTTGAACGACTTGCGTCATTGTTTCTTTTCAAACTAGTAAAGGGGTGCTACATTTCTGATCTCCCTGTTGCAAGGAAGCTATATAAGACCTACCAAATCCGCATTCTTCGCATGTTAAAGCGTCAATCTTTGGAGTTTGAATCCCACAATTCTCCATACGTGCCACGGTCAAAACAAAGTAATATATGGTTCATGGCGCCACTATCAGGAATTCCGAAAATTATGATAAATATGTATGTAGAGTGTATACATATAAATATATACATGTTATAACTATAAACCCCTACAAAGTGGGGCCCCAAAATGATTGCTAAGTCGGTGAACCTAACTCCAAAGGCAAGGGTGTTTTTTCGTTCTAGTAATAACATGTAATAACTCTACAGTATTCATGGGCCCGACATTGTATTAATATGTTCAATCAATGAATTGATGACCATCATGACCACCTCCAATGATCATGGCTTCATCTCATCTATCTCATCCAACTTGCCAAGGCCGCAGCCAACGAGGGGAGGACCAAGATGACCAACTGAGAGGCATCGACCTGGCAAATGGGCATATAATATATAAGTAGCTGCAGAACACACACACACATATATATATATATATGTAAATATACATACATAATCTTCCTGAAGTAGATTTGAATATGTTATTTTCAAAGATAAGTCCATTTTAGCGGGATTTTGCTTTGACAGTTACATATTCGATCTACTCCATGATGACTATATATTATAGATAACAAGAAAACACATAGACTCATTTTTCAAACTCCATTTCATTTGATTGGAATTCACACATATGATCATCAAATGATGTAGATTCCATCTAAGTCTATATCTGGTTGGTGGTTTCAACCCTCTGAAAAATATGAGCCAGTTGGGATTATTTTTCCCAATATATGGAAAAAAACAAATCCAAACCACCAATCAGATATAGATATATAATTCCCTTTAGTTTTTGGTGATTAGTCAACAAGGTTATGGCTGCTACTAATTGCTCTTGTTTAGATCACCCTGCTATCCCAAACACGCCATTGACGCGACCGCTTACCTCAGATTCTCGGAGGAAAACAAATCACAAAATCACTGTGCACCAATAAAGTGCACCAATTAAAAACAAAAACATGCTGTGGATCTGTTTTTCAACATATCTGAATTCATTAACGCAAAAAAAAAACATGGAGCGGTTTTTCGGATCAAATTTTGGGATGTACCTCCAAAAGAAAAAAACATGGGAAGGCAATTCATGACTTCAGTAATACTTCACTTTTCTAGACCTTATTGATTTCTTTTTTGGTGGTTCTAGAATTCAGACAAACTCGGTTGTCGTTCGTTTTGGGGGTAGGTGACCAGCTGCTACCGCATCCACCGAGAGCAGACCAGCCAAACCAGCACTGGGACGAGGTGAACCTTGGAGGTTCAAGGATTTTCCATCAACAGAGCCCCCAAGCATTTGGGGTAGCCCCATTTTTTGAAAGCCCTTCTTGGTTATGGGTCGAAGCTGGGCACCTGGATGATACCGACAGACATAGCTGGTATAGCTGGATGATGCTGGATGGTACCCAAATATGCTAATCATAGGCTTTGATCCATCACCACTTCTGGAAATAATGGGGGCAAATTGGGTGTATTAATGGTTGATAATGATTAAGACTGGTTGATGGTCATGAATAGTTGTTCATGGGTATAGCCATGGTTAACCCCGCCTAATAAGTTGGGATGTAACCCCAACTTATATACTACCACTATTGTGAAAATACATCCACTTACTTCACTGGAGGTGCTCTTCCAAGTATAGGAAACCGGCATAGGCCATGATCGCTGCAAATGACAATAGAAAGAAAAGTTTCTATAAAGTTGATGAGTTCTACTCCAAGGCTCCAGTGGCAAGCCTCGGATGTCATAAACTTTTATGATACGTGAAATTTGATTAAATTTGAGGATCCCCTGCTAAAATTTTAACCTGTGGGAACAGTGTCATGAATCCATATATCCAGATCCCCCCATTCTCGATGGATCTTGCTGGCTATATTACCAATCTTAAATTGATCTAAAATCTAGTTGGTTATAGCTGATTATAGTTGGTTATACCCCTGAAAAGTCAATGTCAATGCATGAAACAACACGTGGTTCTCATCACTCGTGTTGGAAAAATTCAGCGGTTTCCCCGTCATGAGTTGGTTGAGTCTGCATAGAACCACAACTATCACACCCAACCAGATACATAATATATCATTACATATTCATTGCCAATCTTAGATACCCTGCAAAAAAATGACAGATTATTTGCTGGTTAGTAGATATTCCCATTGATACCAAAAGACTAAAGGATTAAGTATCCATCTAAGATTGACCTAGTATTCACCACAAATCCCAGCTATTCTATTAAAAGACAAAGCTATAAACTAACTTTCTGGCTTATCATAATTCACCTGAACAGTTTCAAAGTGACTTAAAGCCCTGTTGATGGTCATAGACCCAGTATATGACCATTAGACCCCCATTTGATCCCATTGTATCCCTATTTTATTCCCAGATCCCCATTATTTGAATAAATATAACTGAAAGATTTCCAAGATGGGATATATCATTAGATAGCAAAAAATAGCTGATCCCATTGTTTCTATAGACGAGCCGTTATATAATCTGGTTGGTGGTTTAAACCACCTTGAAAAATATGAGTTCGTCAATGGAAAGGATGACATCCCATATATTGTGAAAAGTCATAAAATTCCAAGGTTCCAAACCACCAATCAAATGATGTAATCATCATTAACCATCATTATATAACCATGATTAACCATTAATAGTTATATAGTTATATCCAAGAACTACTCTCTGGTAAACAAACATAGCTATTGAACATGGCCCAGTCGAAATGGTGGATTTTCCCATTAAACATGGTGGATCTTTCCATAGTTTTTTGTATGTTTACCAGGCCGGGTATCCTCTGGCAAACTAACATAACTATGGAAAAACACCATTCTCTTTTACTGAAAGCAGCGTTGTGAGCGGCCACGTTTTGGGCAGTCTCCTTTTGCCACTTTTCTCCATGAATCTTCCCATCCAGAACAAAATATGGCTGCACTTGTCACTTCAACATTGCATCTCCCACAGGCAAACCCCAAGAACAAAATTCCCTACACAAAATTAAACTCCATAACTGAAAACCGAAGAAACAAAAAACAAAAAAACAAAAAACAACAAAAAAACAAAAAACAACAAAAAAACAAAAAAACAAAGATTCCAGAGAAAAGTTGGGGGGCTCATAGTTGCTGGATCTTTTTTTTTGTTTTTTACGGATTTTGTGTTTTTTTTGTGGTTTTGCTTATTGTACCGCCTGTCTATAGGGGTGGTTTTACCTTGAAAATGTTTTCTCCATTGCTGCCGGTCTCTCCTTCCCACTGCCGTGGCATGAAGCCAGCGTTGTTGCTAGCTACCTTTACATTGTCATGGCACTACGGTGGCTCACTTCATAGCTTTACGCTTACGGGTGGTAGCAGTGGACCTTCGGGTGATGTACTTCGGCATGGTCTCCAAATTTTGGTTCCAAAATCGGATGCTCTCCTGCACCCAGAAGCGGTGACTGTAAGGGTTCATCGCGTTGAGGGCAAATTTTTCTTCCGAATCCATGCGTTGAAGACTTCAGACATATTGGTGCGGACCTTGGCCAATCGTTTCTTTTCATTTCTTGTGAGTTTTTTCTTGGAGCATTTGTGGTTCACTCTGTGGATTTCATCCACTGCATAATGGCGAATAGGTTTGAAAGTCTTCACAAGCTTCATGTCAAGGATGCTGAGGGATGTATCATCCAAGAAGTCGCCCATCAAGACACAACCAGGCTCACCTCTCAGGAAGTCGAGTTCTGGTGTGCAACGCACACAGGGATGACCATCAAGGTTGAACCTGGCTTGGTTGTGCCTGACTTGCGCCATGAGGACGCTGCGGCCGAGAGGGCTCTTGCCAGTGCCAGGCTCGCCCAAGAGAATCAAAGCAGACTGATCAAAGTCCCAAATCTTCTCCAGGGTGGTGAGGATGGCACGGTCATAGAACAGGGGTGACAAGGGAATTGGCCAATGTGGTTCCTTCTTTGCCAGGGCGCCATCAGAGGACAAGTTCCTGAGAGCTTGGCTGATCAAGGCACCTGGCCAGCCGAAGATTGGAGAGGACTTGTTTCTCAGTTCCTTGGTTTGCCACCGCAGCTGCTCCATTTCGCAAGAAGATCTTGGAGCAGTGCGCAAAATGTAGTCGAACCCTTCATCGATTTCGGCGTCCTCCTTGTCTTCGAAAGGCATGCTCGTTTTCGACTGGCCCCTACGGGTAGCTTGTGAGGAGAGATCAAAGCACCTGAAGGCATGGCCTCCCAGATTTTCAAAGCAGTACTGCAAGATCTTCCTTCCAACCTTGGGGTTGCTCTTCATGAACAAGGGCCGGTAGGGAGATCCGAAGCAGATTTGCTGGACAAAGGACACTTTCACCTTGTCAGGGAAGGACGCATGCTTCAAGATAGCCTTCTTTCCATCAGGCTGCTTCAGGATGGCTATCTGGATGGTTGTCTCCTTTGGGCACGCAGCCTTGAGACCAAAGGGTGCAGGAAGAAGTGCAAGATCTTTCTTCTCACACGCCAGTTTGTAGGAAGAGGAGAGGCCAAAGAAGTCGATGTCATCTGCATGGTCGACAATCAAATCAAAGTAGTGGACGCCGGAGTTCTCTGTGCCTTCCACTTGAGTCATGGGGAAGGTCATGAGAGTGAAGGATCCAAGAGGCACTTCTGGAAGAACCAAGGGTGAGATGGATCTGCATGAAAGGGAGTCCACAAGTCCTTCTGTTTTCAGCTTGCATGGCCATGACGAACAATGACGATGATATTGGCGCTATTTGGTGGCTGGAAAAGGCAACAGTACATATTGCTTACAGACTTGGACACACATGTCAGAAAATGCTCAAAACATAGCATTTTTTTACGAGATTTGTGGGCGCTGAGAGCGCTGGCCTCTCCATTTTTAATGGGTAAATCCACTATAAATAGCCATTTTCAATAGCTATGTTAAATTACCAGAGGGTACCCGCTGGATCGTCTCATTCAAGCTGCGAGGATCGGCGAAGCTCCGCCAAGCTCAGTAATCGCTGGGCAGAGCCTCGACGCGACGCGACGCGACGCGACTGGACGCGACGCATTGGGGTTGGCTATGGCAACACCGAAAAAAAAAAAACAAAGAAAAATGAGAAACCTGAGAGACCTGGACATGTGAACTATTTTAGTAAATCTAAGTCAATATCATCTAAACCATCATGGAAACACTTTTGAGTCTCTTTTTGGGAGTTGCTATGTAGTGTTCTAGCCCATGATTCTAGTTGTTTTTTGTTGCTTATAGTTGGTTATAACTCCAACATCAATCTGAAGCTAGGTGAAATATAATGAACCATAACAACACACACATTATATATATATAATAAGATGAAATGACGTCAAATTAATTGGTGGTTACCCACCCAAATAGTGATGTAATCTACTAAAAATGGTACCTCCCCAATGATCAACAGCCACAGGACTTATCTGATGCCGATCGATTCCACATTGATGCCTGACCCTACTATGGATGGGCCAGCGAAATCCTGCACCATTTCTGCGGGGAGGAATGTCACCCCAGGTCCCTCGATCCACCTGTTTCACTCCACCTCAGCAAAGCTCGGACGCGTTCCTGACGAAAGGCCATGCTGCCATGCTCTCCCGACCATGAGCCATTTGAAACTGGAAAACCTGAACCATCTTACTAGATTCATCTCTCTAATTGCCAAAAAATCCAAATTCTAATCCCAGTAAATCCCCGTTAAATCCCCCTAAATTCCCCTTAAATCCCATATTTATTACCATAATTCTACAAGATGGGGCCCCAGTTCGTTAGCTAAGTTGGTGAACATAACTGCAATATATAACAAGTTGGTGTATGAATACGCAAACAACTATTAGTTTAGATGGGGTTTATAAAGCAACAAACGCAACTGGGGGTCCCTATCCTGCTACAAATTCAGCCATGGCCATGTTTGACTCCCAGTTTTGGGGGTTCATGGGAGTCGTGCGGGTTGAGAACCTGGTGGATCCCAGATGTTCCCGTTGTCATAAACTTCCACTCAACAACAATCTATACGAGCCCCATCTGCAGGGGGATTGCAAGTCCTAAAAGATTGGGGTCAGATTGGGGTCTACTATCGGATTTGTCAATGTTTACCAATGTTTACCCTCTGGTAAACTAACATAACTGTAACATAACTATTGAAAATGATCATTTATAGTGGATTTTCCCATTGAAAATGGTGCTTTTCCATAATTATGTCAGTTTACCAGAGGGTACCAGATCGTGACCCTTGGTGGACACCAAACATGCCATGGCCAGTCGAGTGACTTCATGACGAGGTGAGGCCCCCTATTGAAAAAAAACACCTGAAGTATATGTAGTCATATCCCATTTTATATCTCCCATAATTCATATAGTTAACGTTACTTAACTATAAACAAAAATAAACTATAGTTCAACTTAACTATCGATTCAATTCCGGCAAAAACGGATCTATCGAGGTTGACATTCAAACCACAAACCAACAAAAATCCACTGTTGCGAAGTGATTTTTAGGCCTGTAACCAATTTCTAAAGTGTGATTTGTGTCAGTCAGTATTTCGAGTAGCCAATGAAAGTGTTGATTCTTGACATTTCTTGACTAAGAAATGGCTATGAGTCAAAACCCTGGTGCCCCTGGTGAACATCAAAATAGCTGGTAAATGGATGTTCATCCCACTAAAAATGGTATTAATAGGTATTGATCCATACCCAAATGCATAAAATGAATGAATCAAAAAACCGTTGCAGTTGCCATACTCCGACCTCTGGTGCAGGCTGCGTATACCGTGCCAGCAACGCCTGCAGGATCTCACAGCTGGCGGCCAGCTGGGAAAGGGTGGTGGTGTTTTTAGCATCGAAAACTATGGTTTAGTTGAGAAAATCTAGAGGAAACCGTTGTTTAACCATCCAAAAAGGTGGCAAAAACACCACTACTGGTAGCTATTTGTTGAACAGGATCTGACCTATGAAAATGAAGCACATGCTCGTTGATATAAACTGATTGCAACTGAGAACTGGCCATAAAACGCAAGTGCTTCAGCACCACAACAGGAATTCTGCCCAACGATATCCAACAGCACTGGGTTTATAACACAGCATTTAATCAATATACGGGTAAACAATTTAATTCCATGATGAACACAAGAATACAACCGACAAAAACATGCACGTCCAAGCTTCGCAAGAAGCAAATCAGCAGCGGTTTTGAACATCATGCAATAAGGGCTGGTTCCTAATCCCAGCAAAGCACCATAAATCAAGGCGAACTGCCGAGTTTGAAACCAAGATACCTATTGTGACATACAAGGTGAGGCCCCCGAGTTGTCCCCACGTTTCTCCATATATCCCCCATGGGCCCTAATTAACCAAGTTACAATTCAACTTAGCTATCGTTCGGGGGGTCCGGCTCTGCAAAATGCGCGGAGCTATTGTGCCATCTTGTGCCATCTTGTGCCTCCCTAAGGAATGAAATTTGAATTCCCTGCGCAGTTGCTTACAAAGTGGGGCTCCCTAGATAGCTAAGTTGGTTTATAACTCCAATAACTATAGTTTATGGTACGCAAATAACTATAGTTATTGGGGCGAATCTAAACCAACTAACATCTATCTAGGGGGCCCCACATTGTAGGAACTGCATACACAACCCTGGTCTGCGATAGTCCCCATTTCCAGTTGCGATCTCTGGGATCCTCCAAGCAATTGGATTTATTTGCATCATGTGTTCTAAACAACAAATTTAGTGAGTGTACTTATCTTATCCCCATCATTATCATATATATATATATATCATTATAATATATATATATATATCTCCAACAAATAGTCATCATATCAATGAATTCATTCATGTTTTCCGACTATATCACCTCCATCATTAGAGCATCCTTTCGCCTGTCGCCGCAGCTCCCACTGGTGCTGCTTGGCACTCTCGGCCGTTTCTATCAGAAGGGCCTGATCCAACAACTGAGGACCCCAGAATGTGCTCGACAAGAAGTGACCATAGAAAGTATGATTTTATATATGTAATGATAAATCTCCTACTAGAGATCCATAATATATCATAATATGATATTGTATCATATGTTGTATGTTTCGAAAATTATATGTAGTTCATAGATTATTGAAATATTTAGATTGTATATATATATATAACTATCTACACTATATACTGCGATTCTATTGAAACACATGCATTCATGTTTTATCACATTGTATTCCAAATTATTGTATTATAAAAGTGATACACTGTCCTCACTTCGAAAACAAGCCATAGGGAAAGTCACAGCCAGGGAACGACCCTCTTGGCAATTGAAGACACCAAGGGAATAGGTCAAGACAGCCAGGGTAGCGCTTAAAAACGCCATATTTTTTTACGGCGAAAGATACTATATATATATATATATGAACATATCAAAACATCCATAAGTACATATAAGTACATAAAAGTACACAATCACAATCTACATCAGTTTACATGATATTTTTGATGTCAAACAGAGCTTCTGCAAAGCCAAAATGGGGAAGCCTCGTAACCTCGTAACCGCTACTTGGTGTGTAGGGTAGGTAGGCTGGAAAAATCTATAGTAGCCCCCCAAAAAGATGGCTTAGTGTTTCCAGGATGGTTCAGGGATGATGCTTCCTCCATATATTTTCAGGAATCTGGTAGTTGTCCATCTATTTTCTGGTTGTAAGATGTTGTAAGCTACTTGCTGGGAAGAAAATTGGGATTATTTTCACATACACTCCTTTGGGGGGCTAAAAAAGCCTAAAAACCAACCCTTAAATCAAAGGAATATTCACCATTATTTAACGATTTTTTCTGGAGTATGTCCAATTGGGATATATGAGCAAGGACAGAAACTAAGGGTTCACCATATCGCTTTCCATGGTTTGCGACACATTTTCAACCATAGGACCTCTCATGTAGAGATTTCTGCATGAACCTTTTAGGTGTTTGCTCATATGAACATATTTCATGAACCAAGTTACCCTCTGGTAAACTGTTACATAACGAACTGGAAAATTACCATGCTATTAATGGGAAAATCAACGATTTCGACTGGGCCATGTTCAATAGCTATGTATCAGTTTACCAGGCCGGGTAGTTCTTGGATATAAGTATATAACTATTAATGGTTAAGCATGGTTATATAATGATGGTTAATGACGGTTAATGATGGTTAATGATGATTACATCATTTGATTGGTGGTGACTGGAACCATGGAATGGATTATGCCTTTCCATTTCATATATGGGATGTCATCCTTCCCATTGACGAACTCATATTTTTCAAGATGGTTAAAACCACCAACCAGATTGTATAACGGCTCGTCTATAGAAACAATGGGATCAGCTACTTTTTGCTATCTAATGATATATCCCATCTTGGAATAGTTCAGTTATATTTATTGAAATAATGGGGATCTGGAAATATAATCATATAATATAATATATGGTTAATGATGGTTAATCAAAGTGTCAGCCATTACCAGAGGCTAAAAAAACAGCTGCAATTTCCATCCCGCGGCCTCCAGTTCATCCCCATGAGCTGACCTCAGCAAGCGCCACCATGGTGAACTAAGCCCTCGAGGTTAGTGGCTGTAAGGGCTAGAAAATGGGATAACAATAGTTGATATGTAATTTGTTCATAGTTGTTTAGATTACATAGCTATGGATTCTATGGAACATCATAAACCATCTAGAATCTACAGTATGTTTGTGGGCCATTTTCCATAGCTGTGTTAAATAACCAGAGGGTAAGTTCGTGGTTGTTTATAACAATGATTGTTATGTGATATGTAATATCTTGATACATGGCGAGGCCACCAAAGTTGGTTTATAGACCCTTTAACATCCTTTAACTACAGATATATATATATATATACAAATATAAAGAGCATACAGCTCACCTAGTCATAAACCAACTCAGCTATCTAGGGAGCCTCACCTTATATGTCATCTACATCCCTTGCTGATCTGTAGCAAATATTGATAATTTACATATCTTGAAGCAACACTAATACACAGATATACAATAAGGGATGTATGTTACATGACTAAAAACAAAGACTTGGCTACTTTTGCCGGGGTTACATACTACACTCACAAAACTTAGACACATCATCAGTCACATGGCAGTGGGAAATCTCACTAATTTCTAGTTGATTTTACCACGAAAAAACCTCCATTAATAGGGGATTTTCCATTACCACGTCTGCCAGAGGGGATTTTCATTAGCAAAACGTCATCTTTCAAGCATCTCCAAGGGATTTTTTTCAGGTTTCACCAGGGAACAGTTCAAAATTCTGTCGCTATAGCTACACACTACCCCCATTCGAAATGTGGCTCCCCTTGTGTAAATATACCAACAAATGTGGAAAACCAACCATTTGTCCATTGGTAACTCATTTTCCAACGGAAACCATGGCTCGCCATATCTACTATATGTGGGGCCCACAGATATGAACGGTAATTTGGTTTAGAAACTTTATGAATTATAGCTATATATAAGTATTATAAACCATAGTTGTTGGAGTTGTAAACCAACTTAGCTATCGAACGGGGGCCCCACAGTGTATGTTAGTTTATATATCTCAAGGCAAATATCAAACAGAAGCAACTTTGTGGGCCCATAACTGCCTTACTTTTGAATATCTCCGGGCATGTGGGCCCAAACATATCGTTGAGCTCGTGAAAGCCCAGGTGAGCAGCTTTCAGCTTCTAAAGGTCCATGATTAGGGCCAATGGTTCTATACTATAGGTTAGTAGATATAGTTGGCAATGGACGAGGGGGGTGTTGTTTTCGTTTGTAAACCCCCTACAAGGACAAACGAGATCAAACGAAGATAAAGCCAGTGGCGGAAAAAAAACATATCAACCAACATAAATCCATCGGTTTTAGGGCTCAGGTTCCACCATTAAAATCAACAACTGGTGGGTTTTTCAAAAAAATGCCGGTCTTCTTCCAATTGTTTTCCCTATTTGTGAACTGCAATTTCGGGATGTACAATCACCATTTTTAGACACATCCAAAATGTCAAGTGTGTCAAATTATATCATATTATTTCCCTTCATATCCCATCATTTATGTCGCCATATCATGTCAAGTCAGTTGTAGATATCCCAAAGTATCATCCCAATTATAGATGGTGTGTTTCCTCCTGCGACATATCCCTGGTGTTTATTCCACTGCAGACACCTCCAATCTAGGGCCCTGCAGTTACTTTTGTTTACTTTTGTTGGTTTAGATTCACCCCATGAATACTATAGTTTTAATTTTTTACATCACAATCATAAGGTGGTTTATAAAATGTTTATAAACTCAGTTAAACTGAGTTAGAAGTACCATAAACTTTAGTGAGATTGGAGTTATAGACTCAGCTAGAAAACTCCCATGAAAAATCCCCACATCCCCATGTTCCTATGGTTTTCCTATGGTTTTTCTATGGTTTTTCTGGAAACAAAACATCACTTTTTGTTGGCTAAATCTAGATTTTCCTATGGTTTTCCTGTGGTTTGTTGGTTAATTTGGTGATAAACTCATCTAAACACTGAGCTATCGACTCTAAAGGCATCTGTCCAAAGACTCGCATGATGGCGGCTGCAGCCTCCTGGGCATCGCCAGCCTCGCATCGGAACCCAGGTCCGGAACGTAATGGTCGGGTCACATGGAGACGATTAATGGTGATAAAATCATGGATAGATAACTGGAAAATCAATGATGACACCATTAATCATAGATAATTGATAGAATTTTACCATTGAAAATTTATGATAAAATCATAGATGACATGGAAAGTCAATGGACATTTAAAAAAAGTAGGAAAGTCATGATGGAATATGATGGATAATTATCGTAGGTCACCACGATAAATGGTGAAATGATGATACATGAGAAGTGGAAGATCATAAAAATTGGAAAGTCATCCCATGGGACTTTCCATGACTTTGGGGGATCTCCTACGAATTTCTACTTTTTCCCATTCCCATCTCCCTAGGAAACATGTCTTTCTATAGTGCAACCAAGTAGGAAATTGTAAATAGGTGATTGTGACTCAACTGCACATTGGCTGACAGGATTACAATTGGTTCCAAAAGGAAATAGATATACCTTGAAAATCCTAACTTAGGTATTTACACTAGCAAAGTGAACCTGGCTGCCTAGCTAAGTGAGGTAGCTTACATGGTCTCCTTTCCGGTGGTTTAGATCATCATCATCCAAGGTATATCCCTGGTATCGTGGAAAATGAGGTAAACATAGGTAAACTACATTCACTATCCCATGACGGATCCATGGTGCTGGTATAGACATGAAGGAGGTATATTGATGGGATCCATGTTACCATATATATACCATACATGGATCCTATGGCTATTTATTCCTAGAATATCCCTGGTAGTTCTAGTCGGAAATCACCAAAATCTGAAAAAAAACACCAGCGCAGTTCTCCAGACGCTGTACCACTGTCAAGCTGGGTCAAATCAAGTTCCTCTGTGGTGATCATTGACCGGGCCTGCCGATGTGAGTTTGTTGGTTTAGATTCACCCCATTCACTAGAGCCTTTTTTAGTACCATAAATGACCATAAATATCCATAAATCATAAATTGTGACAGTGGAGAAAAATTGGAATTATTTGCACCAACTTTGCAGAACGCCTTGGAACAACCCGTCGTGAAACCAGGACCATCACTCACATTTAGCAGGACTGTGGACCAAACTGCAAGGGCTGCTGCACGATCTGCAGTTATGACCTGAAACAACCATGGGCTTTCCGCTCAACGGTTGCACTGTGGAAAAAATGATGGAAACTCATGGCGATACAAGGAACTGATAGTTGATATAACTATTAGCTGCTAGGGGTTTATGGTACTTATAACTAACAAATACGGTTTAACATCAACCCTATAGTATTGTAATGTATTATAGTTATTAAATACACTTAACCTAGGGTACTACAATTACTATAATATAGAAGAACTTATAACTAACAAATAATTATCATTGTACTATAACTAAGACATTATATGAATTAGTTAAATGGAGGCTACTTTTCCAGTACAAAAAAATGCTATGTTACTTATAACTCACAAATGGCTGGGGATCAGTATCTCTCGGCGATCCGATGCAGGAAAACCCTAAAAGTGCTTCAGTTGAGTTTTCAGTTCGCGAAGTGGACAAGAAACCACCATCTCTAATATCATTTATTATTATAGATGATTTATTATAGATGTATTATTATTATAGATGATTTTTTATTATAGATGATTTATTATATTCTATAAAAGTGATGATTTATTATTATTATAGATGGAAAAACCCGCTATGACCCATAGAAATACAGTCACCGACAGAATTATGGAAAAAAAAAACGTTTCAATTTACAGGCGCCGCCTGTCTATGATAGAAAAGTTACGAACCTTTTTTTTTTCCATAATTATTTTTTCCATAATTATTTTTTTTCCATAATTCTGTCGGTGACTGTATGTCCATCGATTCGCAATTTGAATGCATTTTAAGGGGGAATATTGAATTATAGAAAATATGTGTCTAAAGATCTGGTATATGCCCCTAAGTCCATAACCCCAAAAAAGGGGTTTGAATTGTGGATCCATGACATGTCCAACAGGTGGAGCCCCAAACATTAATTATGGAAAAAATAATTATGGAAAAAAATAATTACGGAAAAACCGGTCAATCTGCCCTAGCCCCCTGATTTTACAGGAAAAATCAATTATGGAAATAATGGCCACCTCCAAGAATTATGGAAAAAAAAAGGTTCGGATCATTTCCGGGATATTTTGAACCCTTATGGGGAAAAACCTAATTATGGAAAAATCGGACGCAGGCGCCGCCTGTCTAAGTTGAACGTTTTTTTTTTCCATAATTCTGTCGGTGACCATAGATGTAAATTAACCCATATGCAACCCATGGTGCTGGTACATTTACCTACAAGACTGGGTGATTTATGGGGTAAATGATGGTAAATATTCCAGCACCATGGAGCATATGGGTAATGGGTAAATCATCACTTTTATCATCTATTTCTATGGGTCATAGTGGGTCATAGTTTTCAGTTAACTATTTAAAATTAACTGAGAGGATAGTGCCAACCAGAAACATGTGGTGCAACAGTTGAGACCAATCATAAACTCAGCTGCGAAACCAAATTCACAAGATCTCACAACCAAACAGACAAACGATGAATCACGAGTGTGGGCTGCATTTACAATAATGGCAACCAATAAATTCACTAAAGTATACTTATTGGTGGCGGCTATGAACTCATGTTGAAACCTGGTGGCACCGCAGTTGGCTTGCTAAGTTGGTTTGTAGCTACAAGTTTTATGGACATTTATGGTAGATATGTCACCATATATCTATAGTAAAGCGGTATTAATAAACCAACAAACATAACTGGGGCAGTACAATCTGGGGTCCCCGTAGATGGCTAAATTGGCTTAGATAAACCTCATGAATACAGTATTTTTTTAAGTACCATAGTGAGATTGGTGTTAACAGCTAGCATAAATCAGCTATAAATCCCATTAAATCATCATTTTCCTATGGTTTCTATCATGGTTTAGAAATCCCATGACAAATCCCACCGGACCACCACTCCCCTCGACCTCTGATCGGCTGCAGGTCGCGATCAGCGCTCCAGCCTGCCAATGAGCATGGGTTGAGGAGACCGCGAATTGACCTCGAAATTGATAAAGCAATCCACAAAATGATTGAACATAGGAATTCCACTGAAATCTATGTGTCAATTGCCTATTTTTATTGTTTTTGGGTATGTTCAACTTTCATTGTGTGTGATGTATATATATATATATATGCATACGCGATGGGAAAAACAACAAAGGTACTGGGGAGTATAAAACTCCCACCCCCGTTAAACCTTAAATTCCTATGGGTTAAACTCCCACCTCCGTTAAACTTTACATTCAAGTGGGAAGATCAACAAAGGTACTAGGGAATATTAAACTCCCACCCCTGTTAAACCTTAAATTCCTATGGGAGAAACAACAAAGGTACTAGGGAATATTAAACTCACACCTCCGTTAAACTTTACATTCGAGTGGGAAGATCAACAAAGGTACTAGGGAATATTAAACTCCCACCCCCGTTAAACCTTAAATTCCTATGGGAGAAACAACAAAGGTACTAGGGAATATTAAACTCACACCTCCGTTAAACTTTACATTCAAGTGGGAAGATCAACAAAGGTACTAGGGAATATTAAACTCCCACCCCCGTTAAACCTTAAATTCCTATGGGAGAAACAACAAAGGTACTAGGGAATATTAAACTCACACCTCCGTTAAACTTTACATTCAAGTGGGAAGATCGACAAAGGTACTAGGGAATATTAAACTCCCACCCCCGTTAAACCTTAAATTCCTATAGGAGAAACAACAAAGGTACTAGGGAATATTAAACTCCCACCCCCGTTAAACCTTAAATTCCTATGGGAGAAACAACAAAGGTACTAGGGAATATTAAACTCCCACCACCGTTCAACTTTACATTCAATTGGGAAGATCAACAAAGGAAGTAGGTAATATGAAACTCCCACCCCCGTTACACTTCTACATTCATTGAAGATCTTCAATAAGGGTTCAATTCTCCCACCCCCGTTAAACTTCTACATACATTAAAGATCTTCAATAAGGGTTAAACTCCCACACCCCCGTTAAACTTCTACATTCATTGAAGATCTTCAACAAGGGTTAAATTCTGATGATGATGATGATGATGATGATGCGTTGCCTGTCGTCATTGCGGGTCCGGGCAAAGCGCAGGCATTTGCCGTATATATATATATTATACATATGTATAAATTATCCAAGTTATAGAACCATTTTAAAGAATGATAGTTACTGTTTATTTTTGGCCCCTGGAACAATGATTAGGATTATATAAAGCATGTGTCTCTCTATATGTTTCATTTTATTTTAAAGTGTGTTTATTTTTGTTTCATATGATTTGCAAAATTGGTTCTTGGACATGCTCGAGAAGAGATACTCATAGCATAGCTATGCACGCAAGACCACAATTCTGCAATGGGAAAATGGGACATTCCCAAAGTTCAAACCATCCTTCCGGAACACATGTTCGTAATTTGACGAAAACAAACAAATCAACAGCATTCATAGACAACAACAACAACAACAACCACCACAACAACAACAATGTCAATGTCAATGTCACTGTCACTGTCACTTTCTGTGTCCCGCCATCGAGCCATTCCGCCAAGATCCCGACACTGTGCAACGCAGCCAGTTGAGCCAAAAGCTTGAACCAAGGCCTCGGCCGCATGGTCGAGTCCCGATGTGCCAAGAAACGGCCGGTTCAACAATGGATATATGCTAACAATGGGTATGTATAATGGGAATATGATATATATCTATATATACGTGATTATAAATAATTAATTTCATGTATTATTAAAAAACATGATCAAATAAATATGTATGAATGTATAAACATTTAGAAATAATATTGTTATATATTGAAAAACAACTAGGGTTGTATATTCATTATTACTTTATGTATCATGATATTCCACTTGATAACGAACTATAAAGAGCTGTTATATGGGTGGGGTGGGATCCTCTGGGGCTGTCTGTAAGTGGGGGTAGCCCAAGCTCGCTGGATGGTGAGTTTTTCATGGAAAATCCCATCTAGAAAGGGATGATTTTGGGGGTACACCTATTTTAGGACACCTCCATAATCAATAATGTGATAATAAAGAACACACATATATATATATTAAATTCGCTAATTTTACTACAAGATACTACAAGTATCAAACAATATCTATATAAATTCGCTAATATTTAATATTACTAATATTACTATCACAAATATCCATAAACCTGATTAAATTGAATTTCATGGCGTTAAGGACTAATTTTCAGATTCTACTCTTTGGTTGCACAAACAGGTGCCTTAGAGCGACTCTCGGTCCATACCATGACAACCCGAAGCGTCATGTCAGCGTCATGTCAGCAGAAAATGTGGATTTCAGGATAAACAATCTTGATTTTTATATCAGTAGCGGACAAAATTATATGACAGATTTAATGCCATGCTCATTAGGGTCGTCCCCTATCGGTTGTGAGGATTTCAATATTCGCGGAGGTATCACAAATGGGGTATCGGTATAGGGTCGTCCCCTATCGGTTGTGAAGGTTTTGTGCAACCTCGGAAAGGCCACGGCGAAGCAAAACTAAATTAGTATTACAATAATTTTGTCGGTTACTCATATGATGTTATTGCCCGGAAATTTGAGAACTGCAAGAAAATTGAGTCTTAAGAACATAACTATGTCATGTCGACACCAGTCTAAATCTCTATTGGGGACTACAATCTACAGACCAATTGCAAGTGTCACAATGAGACACATGCCAGTGTCAAACAACTGGAACCCTGGTTCTTTTGGTCATTGGCTATGTCTCTGGCTCATCTCTCAACTGAATCATGCGAACTCCCACTGTTTCTGAGGTCAGACCCACATCTTCTATCCAAGAAATCGGTACCTTCTCCGGTGTCAGATCCGAAGAATCTCGGGATGTGACATTGCGTATTTTTACCATTGTTTGATGCTTAGATCATCAAGTTTGAATCATGTCTCATTGCCATAGGATCCATGTATGCTATATATGGTACATATAATACATAATGTAACATATACCATACATGGATCCCATGGGATTGCTAAATCATGCCAAATCCCTATTTTTCACGGCCTTTCTGTTGAACTCCGCTGTGTTTCCCTTGCTTTCCGGTGCCGTGAGTCCCGTCCACCGTTACGCCAAAGAACGACAGCAGTCGAAGCAACGGTGCCAAAGCCGATTTCCGGCGACCTTAATGGGATATCCACGGGGATTTCATTGGTGTTTTAATGGTGATTTAGTGGGAAATTACCATCTGGTTAACAGTTCGCCATGGAAAGATCCTTCATTTTTAATAGGTAAACCATCTATTTCAATGGGCCATGGCTTCCATGGCTATGTTAAATAACCAGAGGGTAATGGAGATTAATGGGATATGAATGGAGTTGATCATGTTGGTGAATCAATGGGAGTTTAATGTGATATTCATGGCGATTTGATGGGTATGTTTTAATGGTGACTTTAATGGTTAGTGGAAGTTAATGGGTTAATGTATTGATGGGATTTACAACATATCCATTCATTGTTGTTTAAATATCTAACTTTTCTTCTTCAATCCCTATTGATGGATAAAATCAAACCCCATGAAAACACAACATTACGGTTACAAGGTGAGGTCCCTGTTTACCATAGCTAAGATGATTTTTAGCTTCGTGAATTCTATTATGTAATTATGGGGGATATACAGTAACGAACTAGCTGAGGGATGTTAAGCGGGGGGGTTATAAACCAACGATGGCATCATTGGGGGCAATGTGGATCGACGCACCAAACACAGTGGCACTATCAACAATGATGATCTGAGAATCACGAACCGTTTTCTTTGGCTTAAACAAATATGTTGGATAAGGATTTCTTGGTTGATATTGGTAAGCAAGTGTTGATCATTGGCCGATGGTTTCAAGGTGTTTCAACCTCCCTTTAGGCTGATGTTAACCACATTAAGAGAATATAACAGGGTCTACAGTTCAATCAACCATAATGGGGTTACAGTGGTGATATCATGGAATAAATTACATTTTGTGAGCGACAATATTATATTTAGGTTTGTCCATAAATCGGGTAAGTATGCCCCAAAATTGAATTTTCATGCTATTTAGGGGCACCCGATTTTCGATATACATAGGCATGTAGGTCCCATAAAACTCAGGAAATAAACTTTGCATTGTTTCTCTGGGCAAGTACCCACATAACCCTTAGCAACCTCTGCAAATACGTCGTTTTTGCATTCAATTTTTCCGTATAGAAGTTTAACGATGTTCTCGGTTTGTAGAATGTACGGTCACGTCAAATATAGAAGTTTTGTTTTACATTGATTTCTGTTAGCGTCCAAAAAAAATGTTAGTCAAACATCGCAGTTTAAATCCAGTTTAACGGTCCATTTTACTCACTGGAAATAAACAAGCCACTAGTTAAGTCACAGCAGTTTAATCCATTCTACCATAATTATAAGTTGGTTTGGAAACCCCATTACCATGAATATAAGTATCATAAACCGTAGTTAGAGTTGTAAACAAACTTAGCTATTGTAAATCAGATATAAATCCCATCATAATAATTATGATATCCCCATTCTTGCTTGTTAAATAATGTATTTGTCCTATGGTTTTCCTCTCGTCTTTGCCGGGGTCCCACTATATATGCCAACGAGCCCCAAACGGATCGGCGACATCTGTTCCACTTGATCTCGGATGGAACCCATCCTGGCGCTGGTTCATCAAGAGTAAACTGATGTAAACTGCAAAAGATGGATCAACCGATAGGCGATCTTTAGATGATTTTAGTGTATCCAATACGTGTACAGTAAACTGAGTAAACTGATCGAAGGAAGTTTAGAAGTCAAACTTCCGACAATATGGACAGATGAAAAGCAGAGATGGGAAGAGTCAGAGAAGAGAAGAGAAGAGAAGGGAAGAGAAGAGAAGGGAAGAGAAGAGAAGAGAAGAGAAGAGAAGAAGAAAGAAGATCAAAGAAGATCAAAGAAGAGAAATTCAGAAGAAAGAAGATCAAGGTGTGCGAAAAAGCAGGAAAGTCGCGGTTCACTGTGTTTTTCCAATGATTTGTGGCTCTGGAGGGTCGAAAAGTAGGCTCGCTAAAGCGGCGGGTGCGGAGCCATGTAGCCAGATGAGAGATGAAAAGTTGAACGCCGTTGTGGCACGAAGCACATTTGCAAGTGAAAAAGCCAAAAGCACCTCACGTTCGGAGCACTGTTGGAAGTTGTGATGTCGAAAGTGTGCACGCTGTTGTGGTGGGAAGCACATTTCGAAGTCAAAATGTACAAAACACACCAGGGTCGGACCACTTCTTGAAGTTGAGATGTTCAAAAAAGTGCACGCTGTTGTGGTGCGAAGCACATTTCAAAGTCAAAAGTGTTAAAAAACTGACGGTCTCGGGCCACTTTTGGACGTTCAGATGTCGTTTCGCATGGCAAGCGCAAGGGATTGTGCACCTTGCCAAAAGTGAGCAAAACGTGAAGGTTTTGTAGCAGTTTCAACTACAACCACCACTACAGTACACTCCACTCCACTACACAACACTACAACTACGACTACAACCACATTACATTCACATTACATTACGTTACATTACGTTACGTTACATTACATTACATTACGTTACATTACATTACACTAATTACATGACACTGCGCTACACTCCACTCCACTAAACTAAACTACATTCAATTACACTACGCTACACTAACTCCAACTACAGCTGCAACTGCCCAACTTTACACTCCACTACACGAACTACAACTACAACGACGACTACGGCTACAACTGCAACTACCACTACATAACACTACACTACACGACACTACACTACACGACGCTACACTAGTTACATTACACTACACTACGCTACACCATACTACACCACAACACACCACACCACACTACACTAGCTACAACTACAGCTACAACTACCCAAATTTACACTACACTACACTAGACTACACTACACTAACTACAACTACAGCCACAACTACACCACTTTACACTACACTAGACTACACTACACTACCCTACATTACATTGCACTACGCTCATTACACGACCACAAACGCGACTGCAACTACACTACACTAATTACACTACACCTCACAACTACAACTCCACTACACTACAGCTACAACTGCAGCTGCACTACAGCACACTACATCCAGCAGTTGTGGATGAGGTGACCGACCAGGTGACCACTGCAACCATTGTAAGCACTCCAAAAATCACAACTCCAAACACCTTTCAGTTTAACTATATATATATACTATTTATCATCATCCATTACTGTCACAGTAAAACATCTTTACTGATGACTATCACCAACTCACCAACCAAAGCTTTCTCAGGGTTGACCTCTGGGAAGCTGCGCACAAATCGTGATGCCCCAAATCGTTCTCTCTTTGTTGGTTGAAATGACTAGCACTTGACTAGGGCTTATGATAGGTACCATCTATGGTGCTAGATGATATCTAGAGTTCAGGTGTTGTTTTTAAATGTTTATAAACAATCTAACATAACTCGGGGGCACCGCTTTTTGTGGAGCTATTCCGCAACTCCCCTGGCCGCGTTTCAGACGTTTCAGACCGGGGGATGAAGTGATTGGGAGCTCTAAAAGGGATGGTTTATCACTATATATAGAAGTCACAATAATTTATATTCGAACAATAGGAGGGTTATATATAAGATAGACAGCTACAAGATGGGACTGTTGTATAACCCTATCTAACATTATTTAGATTATATTTTATAACAGCTACAAGATGGGACTGTGTCCAAAAATGCAGGGTTTATAACATTTTAAAAGTATAGATAAACTATAGCCTATAGTTATAAAATGTTATAAACAGTCCATTTGTGAAATATAGAAAACATAAAAAAAAAAGCCAATATCCAAACATGCAAGCTGCGTGCAATGCTTCTGGTCCACCACGCATGAACACTCCCAGCCACACGATGGGACGGAGAACCTGTGAGCAGTCAACCCTTGCAGACCCTTGGATTTCAATGGGTTAGTTTCAGGGAACATTTACATAAAGCCAGGGTATTTTTTTACCATCGAAACACATGAGTTTTTTTTGGCTGTCTGTATGTAATTGTTTCCCTTCATCAAGTTCTAGGATTATGGGCATAATCGGAGTATGATGGTGGATGGATCACTTGCACTTCCGATTTAGGATCACTGGCGCCGAGTAGGATTACTGGGAAATCTCTGAGGCTTCACTTGCGGACCAAGACACACTAGGAATCCACGCCTAGTGGAATCCCATAACTTGGATACAGACACCGAATTCAAGGGATATAACTGGTATAACCCTGTTACTGTCCATGGGTGTCCATGGGTCCAAATTTCAAAAACCATCTTGGTCTGATTAACAAGTGGGAGCAGCCTCAAATCATCTTTAAGTTCGTTGACGCCAAGCAACCCGCGGTGCCGCGGACTTCAACACCATGTCCAGGGCCTGATTTGGTTGAGCCACCGCCCAGTTTAGAATATGATTGTCATTATGACATTGGGGAGAAAATCATCCCAAGATATGGTTGAAACATGTTGACACTTGAAACATATTGAAAATACCATGACTGGTTGGTGGTGCAATAACCATCTTGAAAAATATGAAAGTCAATGTGAAGGATTATCCCATATATTATGGAAATTATTGAAAATAACAAATGTTTGAAACCACCAACCAGATGAACATAAGCAAGATATCAGTTTGAAACCACCAATCAAAAAACCAATGGATCAATGGGGTTTCCAGTTGAGAAACACAAGCTTCGGGATGATTTTGGGGTCCCACATGCTAAGCAACCCCAAAGTGGACAGAGGGCTGGGGCACAAAATTGGATTTTGCAAAACCTCACGCTTTGCAAAAGAAGTCACCATTCACATGGAATTTTCATGAATTTTCGAGGTATTCCATGGTATTCCCCATCTTGAGACAAAACATGACAAAACCCATGTGGGTCAAATTCAACTCCCATCCTTTCCGAATTCCTTTCAACAGATTCAAAGTCTTGCGGTCTCAACAAAGGTGGCGCCGTTTGCGATGGCTCTTGGCCACCGGGCCAAGAACTCCATGATGGGCCGCAGCACACCGTTGGCATGAAGCTGAGGCGCCTGGGTGAAAACATGTCTACCCGGCCTGGTAAACTCACAGTTTGCTATGGAAAATCACCGTTTCGAATGGGTAAATCAACTATAAATGTGCCATCTTTAATGGCTATGTTGAATTACCAGAGAGTAACCTTGGATGGTATTTCTGAGCCGCATTGAGCTACTAATCCATGACTGAGAATTGACCCAGTACTCCATTGGAATTGGAGGTTTGCTCTTGGGGTTGCCATATGTTACATCCACAATTTTGATGCTTAAATCATCCTTCTTCAAGGTAAAATCACAATATTTCTCCAGTTTGGTCTTGAAAGGAACCCTCAAATTACTTGGAGATTTGCTTAACGGGCGGGCCCATATTCCCTATAGTTGCCGCATAGAAACTCCGTATAGTTTCCCTATAGTTTCCCTATAGTTTCCACATTTCAGGCTGATTCTTGGGGAAGCAACAACACAAATCAACGTCCAATCAGCGCTGGTGACAACCGACGACGTGTCAACTGCCTGGTTCTCTCGTGCTCCTGGCGAAATCGCTCGCTTGTCTGTGGTGAGAAGGGCCATGTATTGCTGGGGTATACCATTCTTGAACATAAATTAATAGTTATGGGATATACAATATTATGGGATATTATGGGACATGGGATATTCATATTTATATTGTGGAACAGGTTTGCAGTGGCCGGATTTTTTGGCGATGATCAGGGTGTCATCAGCATCAAACAATTCCTGGAAATTCATGCCTTGGAAAGCGTATTGATATTGCAGTATACATATGTCATTAATAATAGTTACAATAGAGTCATTAATAATATGTCATTAATATACGTATTGATATTATGATATTATCATAGTATATGTATTGAGTATTATTCCAGTAATACATGGCTTATCAACTGAAAAAAAACAACAACATACTGGGATTCTCATGACTATTTCATAATGATCCCATGACGCTTGTACCGGGTTGGTGTATACTGTATATATGTGTATATCATGAAACTGGCTGGTGGTTGAGACACCCCTCTGGTTAATAATGGTTAATAATTGTTAATAATCTAATGGTTAATAATGGTTCATAATGGTTCATGATGGTTAATAATGGTTAATAATCTAATGGTTAATAATGGTGCATAATGGTTCAAAATGGTTGATAATGGTTCATAATGGTTCATAATGGTTAATAATGGTTACTAATGGTTCACAATGGTTCATAATGGTTAATAATGGTTAATAATTGTTCATAATGGTTAATAATGGTGGTTATGGTTAACCATTATGGGAATTTTAACCATTGCTGGCTAGGGGTTGACCTAGCCCTCTGAAAAATGATGGAGTGAACGTCAGTTGAGATGATTACATTCCCAATATGATGGGAAAGTAAAAAAAATCCATGGTTCCAAACCACCAACCAGATTATATATATATATATCATATGGAGGTTTTCTAAGTCATGAGGCTACTCCCAGTCATCATCCATTCTTGTTTGGGCCTTTCGATTATAAACCAACCATTTGGGGGATCCCCCATTTATGTATGGAAAACACCCCATATCTGACATGACAACCTGGGACCCCAGTAAAAACGATAGCAACAATAGGAGCATGGCGATTGGTCATGGGATTTATAGCTGATTTGTGATAGCTAAGTCATATGATATCTATGGTTTATGATACTTATAGTGGTAGTATCTAGGGGGACCTAGCCATTTAGGGTATATCCCGTACATTTCCAAAACAATAGTAACTAGGATGCTCATCCGCGTGGAGCCGAAGGGGTGTCACCATGAGTTCTCCACATGTGTCAGGGCACCCCAGGGTTTTTGTGGCTTTGTCCGAAAAATGGCTATACCATGCTATACCTCAAATGGCTATAGTGTGCTATATTCATATAGGGACATGGATGATAAACCACGGAATTTTGGGGGCTTCACCATTTTCAGACCAATATAAAACCATATAAAACCATATTAAAACCTTATAAAACCTTATAAAACCATATAAAACCATATAAAACCATATAAAACATTATAAAACCATAAAACACGCAAGTACAGTTCGCTTGGATCAACACTTCGCAACTCAGTTAACGTTTCAAAACGTTCAACGTGCCAAACGTTTTTCACATCCTCCGAAGACGCTCAGGTGGATGGTTCCCAGGGAGTAGCTGTTCCTCTGCTCCCAACCTGACGAGACACGCAATGGATGCATAAACAGCATGGTTCACCAAAGTATATGATGTACCGGTAGTATTATATTATATAATATAGCTAACCATATAGAATCATTATTTCATAGCATGGTTTATAATATTTTATACTAGTATAATATAGTCAATCTTCTATAATGATGTAATGTATCATGATGGATCATGATGTATCATATTAAATAACTGATTGATGGGTCAAAACCTATGATTTCACCATTGATATTGCATATTGATATGGTAAACGTATGTAAATGTGGTAAACTTTGATGGGTCAAACCATTCAAAAAAAAACATGGTGTTTTAAAATGTACAATGGGCCCTTGTACCAATGATTTGCGCTAAGTTGGTGTGTGACTCCTGCAACTCCAATAGCTATATCTTATGACTATAACTGGTTGGTGGTTGAGCCACCCGTCTGGAAAATATGAGTTCGTCAGTTGGGATGATGAAATTCCAAATATATGGAACAAAAATCTTCCAAACCACCAACCAGATAATTAATGGGGTTTATAAACCAACTTGGCTATCTAGGAGGCCCCGCTTTGTCCAGTATATATGCATACAATCATCTATAATGATGTCATGTATCATGTTCTATAGATGATAATCATGAATATTCGTTCAACAAATATACAATAAATTACAATAAATATACAGAATCTAAAATGGATAAACATGGTCTAATCCAAAAATAATGGACGGACATTAAATTTGCATACAATTTCAGTTCTGCTTCGGTGCTATGATTTTCAAGGGACAGGGCAGATATGTTTCCGTCTAAACTTTACCAGTTTCAAATGGTTTTCGCTTCCAGTTTCTGGACCCACTTGTAGAATGTTTTGGATTGTCATGGCTGTTGATGCTCAAACAAAAAACATCAAAAATTGTCCGGTATTGGGGAACCCCCAAGCCTCGTGGATGAAAAAAAAGGTGCCTTTTATTCGAAGCATTTCATATATCGACGAGCCACTGCATCCCGTTTTGCCTAAGGATTGCTTCATGCTCCGTCCTGGCGGAAAATGCTACAGGGATTTACGCGATGTCTGGACCCACCCCAAACTGTGAATTGAAATCTCCAGTATTTCAGTATCCTATTCAGTTGAAGTATGACCCGGTATAAGATTCTACCATGGATCCAGTTCAAAGAACCTGCCGGGAATCGATGATGATTCGCAATCAACTCCCGCCTATGAGGGGCGTCAACCACTTTTTCTGGCCTCGGTACCGAGCGCTTTCCATGAAATCATGGAAAATATCGTAGGAAAATAAGACAAGTGGGGCCACTGAACGAGTTTGCTAAGTCCATACTTCCAATAACTATGGTTTATGCTAGATATAGTTATATAGTTATAGATAGTGTTCATGGAGTTTATAAACTAACTTATAGCTAGAGGGGAAACTTGTAGAATGGATAATTATGGATTCCACATCCACATGCGATTCTTCCATATTCTTCCTAGATCTTCCTAGGGTACCTTTCCCCGGAAAGTTAAAAGATTCATCTGACTCACCATTGCAATTCAGTATGAAACAATGTGGTAATTTAGTCAGCGGGATTTTCTGGTTATGATGTCTGGTTGGTTGGAATTTTGAAACCAGAAAGGTCATTCTGAAACTATGATTTCCCTTAGTAACGCTATCTAACCAGAATTTATCGTGAGACTTTGGCTGAGTCACCATTTCACAAGCGAAAGCAGAGCGACTTACGGAAGCATGCTGCGGCCGCACGGTCGTTGAAAGCTAAATCTGAAGAAACATCATAGAAACATCTTTTTTAACCACCAAGACCAAGAACAAACCACTAAAACAATCTACCAACATTTACCAACCATTTAATTACTAAGCATGTGTACTGTAATCTTTTTTGAACGTCAAATAAGCATATGGAATTTCCGCCGAGGGGCCGCCCATGGACTGCACTCCCTGCAGTACTTGTCCTCCCACAAAGACCTACGCGTCAAAGCTGGGAAATCCCATCGAAATGGAGGATTTAATGGAGGTTTATGATGTTCATTATGGGAAGATCATAATTACACCTAAATGGGCCATTGTTCAGCCATGCTTGATTACTTTAAAGGGTACTAAGTACTATTCAAGTCTGGGTTATGGAAGGCAAGTTCAAGCCACTAACTAACATTCAAGGCTCTTCCATGTCTTTCATGTGCAAGGAAGAAACTGCACGTTCTTGTCACGTGGAAGGATGTGTACAACAAACACACAATGCAGCAGGTGATTCAAAATTAAAGATCAGCACGGACATATCACACCAATCGTATAGTTTATTCCCAAATTACAGCTCGTAATTGCATCTGGCAACGGGAACGGTTGACATTGTTCAGCTGAAAATTGGAGAGTGATGACATGCTAGTACTCATCGAGTACTCAAACGTACAGTACATCAGTTATAGATATCCCCGGTATCTCCCGGTTTTGAAAAAAGTTAGATTCAGTTAGATATCCCAATAATTCATATCACCTATGGATGTTAAATCCTCTATCCCCCCCCCAAAAAAAACAAGTTTTCAACGGCCATCAACAGCGGGCCTTGGAAAGACGATCCGTCCAGGCCTCGGATCTCTCGGAAATGGCTTCCCCAGTGATGTGAATATTTAGTACACCATAATAGCATAGATATTAATGAATAGTATATAAAATAGATTCTAGATACATATCTATAATATGCTTAAGAAAAAATACATAATTTTCATGAAACATACATATACATGTTTGTATCATATAGACATTTTCAAAAACCATATTGACATTGGAGTTATATTCACCAACGTGGCTATTCAAACGGCCTCAATCCGTAGGTTTTTGAAACCCTTGGTCCACTGGTACCGCCATGTTTTTTTCTCAACAGGCCATGTAAAAAAAGGATCCATTGAATCAACATAGCTATTGAAAATGGCCATTTATAGTTGATTTACCCACTAAAAATGGTGGTTTTCAACAGCTATGTTAGTTTACCAGAGGGGAATGATTGGGGATGTAGAAAGGGGCTATAATCTTGGATGCCCGGCATTTTCGAGCTGAGTGCACTAAATTCAGTGCAGGGCCAACGATCACTTTGCGATGGGTTTCATTTAGTGGCCATAACATGTCATAGCGCACCAGCACATGAATCAGAATTTCAAACATCCCCCCAAAGAGCAAAACGTTGTTTACCGCATTTGCTCTTTTCCAGGATTCGAGGTAACAATCTGAAAAACTTTGTGCCCCTTAAAGCTAGCAGCTAGCATCCAAATTAATTAAAAACGTTGCTTCAATTTGGAGGATTATTTCTGGGTTGGTACAAGCCACCGACCCGCAAGCCCGGCCAAAAAAACAAATGACATCAAACAATTGAGCAAACAATGAACCACCTGGGTAAATTGGAATCTTTCCCAAATCTGAAATAAGCTGATCATAAGCCCATGATTTTAAAAATGGATCAAACAATATCAAACATCAAACTTTGAATTTGTGTCCTAAATTGTTTGAGGTACCAAACCAATCGTACCATCATCCCTGCCTTGAAGATTCGTGGGCTGAGCAATGCAAAAGCCATGCGGCCCAACTCATAACCAATCAATGCCTGAATGCGCACTCGGATATTGGATAGATAAATGATCAATGTGTGTGTATGTATATATATATGTATATATATATGTATATATATATATGTATATTTATATACACATACATAGTCATAACTATAAGTGTAGTATGTATAGTCTTCACTACACACATCATATCATATAACTTCATGGGCATTACATTGCCCCAAGACCCCAAGATACAGAACAGAACACAAAAAACCTTGCGCATGACCTTGCACAAGGTTACACAATTTATTTACGTGACATATGACATGATTGATTTAGGTAACATAACATTGTCAAAAATGAGAACTGCTGAATTATTGTATATGCAATGACGTAGTGGTGACAAACCATATCATCGTAAAATAATGTTGACATACACATTTTTTCTGTAGACATATATTGGTGGGTTCAACTCATTGGAACAGCAGAGGTGACCACCAAGGTTGTCCTTTTATGTAACCCTACAAGTGACGCATGGATCCATGGCCAAAAAAAATGCTTGGTTAGCAAATAATAGCAAATCAAAATTAAAGTATCATGTGGTTGGGAAACTCTTAGTAACCATATGAGCCGCGCTGCTTGCGCTTGGTCTTGCGCGCCGCTTGCACGCACACAGTCCCAGCTTGCGCACAAACAGCGGACCATATTACAAGAAGTTTTAGCGACCCTTACCTCTGGTAAACTAACATAACTATAGAAATCACCATTTTAAATAGGCAAATCAACTATAATGGTCCATTTTTTCATAACTATGTTAGTTTACTGGAGGGTATGTCGTGTACCACATTGAACCCAATTGATCCCAAGTACCCACCGTTTATTCATAAGGTTTCTGTTTGTCGTTTATATGTCCCATTTATTTACCCCGTTGGCTACTTGGATGTGCATCCCATTTGGTCAGTGAATGTCAGTGGTTAATATCCAAACCCCGGGATATGCACTAGATAACAACAATGGTCAATGGTTAAACCCCCATTTAACTGGGATCATCTACTATAACTAATCATCACTAAACTCACACATGGGGGTTTCCATAAATGGAGCTACCCCATTTTGTGGATGGTTTATACGGGAAAATGTCAATCTAATATGGATGATGACTGGGGGTACCCCCATTGAAAGCTCCACATATTGATCCATGTTGATCCACCCTATCCACATCCATTTCCCAAGCGGTCGCATCCGCGCACCTTCACCTGTTTCTGGGGGAAGCTGTTCAGTAGCCTGGCGGAGCGCATATCTCGAAATGCGCAGAACAATGAACAGCATATATAATATACATATATATATATATTATACATATATATATAATATACATATATATATAAATAATAATTTATGCAAAAACTGGTGATATGTAAATTCCATTTCTGGTTTCGGGGGTTGCCTTATATCCGGATTATGTGTGAAATGGTAAATACATAGATACAGTACTATGCATACATAGTATAGAGTAAAATGAAAAAAAAAATATATACTATCAACGTATAAACTGGCCAATTGCTAAATATATCTGAATAGTATTGAATACATATCTTCGGATAGGATGCGGTGCCATGCAATAGTCCTGCACGGAGTTGTGCTGATATGATTTGTACAAATCTCTCCTGAAACTGATATAGATAATCATAAGTACGGTTCGTGTGGACGTATTCAGACCTTCAAATTAAGGTTTTGTGCTGGAGGCACCAAAATTTTCAGCACCGGACCTACCACTACTTAGTACTTGGTCGATATAAGGCTATAAGGGTATCCATGTTGGGACTATAATCTGTAGTCGGCATTAAATCTGAATCGTCAATAATCCCCAGTGATATTACACACTGTATCATACAGTAGATAATTTATGATAATTTAATGTATTACTATATAGTGCATGTATAATAATACATATGATCTTTCATTATTTCTAATTTTTGACACGTGTTCTTTCCATACAAAAACAATGTTCTTTCGCTGGTCCCCGGTGGTCCCTGGTGGTCCCTGCCTGGCTTGTAAAACCATGAGGCTTCGCTCCGAATGGTCACGGCCACCAGAGATGGACCTTTTTTTTCACCAGTCTCAGGGTGCAAACCCTGAAATCCAATTTACAGCCTTGATGTGGCTGGAAGGGTATATATATATATATATGTATATATATATATAAATATGTATATATATATATGTATATATATATATGTATGTATGTACATATGTATATAAAAATAATATGTATGTATATAAATATAAATGTATATATAAATATGTATATATATGTATATATACATGTATTTATATATATATGTGTATATATGAATATATATATACATATGTATGAATATGTATGTATATATATATATAAATGCGTATATGTATAAATATATATATATATATACATAAATGTACATGTACATATATAGATACATACATATATATGTATATATAAATATATGTAAATATATTTGTATATGTGTATATATATACATAAATATGTATATATATATACATAAATATGTATATATATATACATAAATATGTATATATATATATGTATATATATATATGTATATGTATACATATATGTAGTATATATATACATGTATGTATATATGTAAATATATGTATATATATGTATATATGCATATATATATACGTATATATATATATGTATTTATATATGAATATATATATATATATATTTATATATGTATAAATAAATGTATATATATAAATGTAAATACATATGTATATATACATATGTATATATATAATATGTATATACATAAAATACACATTATATATATACGTAAATACATATATGTAAAAAGATATTTTTAAATATGTATATATATATATATATGTATGTATGTTTAAATGTCTGCATATATTTGTATATGTATATGTATATGTATATATATATATATGTGAATATATGTATGTATATATGTATATAAATATATAAATATATGTATGTATATATATGTATGTATATATATGTATACGTAAATATGTGTATATATATATGTATATATATGTATATAATATTTATGTTTACATATATATGTATATGTATATATATATATATATGTACATATATGTATGTATGTGTATGCATATATATATGTATATATATATATATGTATATATATGTACATATTTATATGTATATATATATGTATATATATAGGTATATATATATATGTATTTTTATCAAACATGCCACAATAGACACACCATATCAAACATATCCAAAGATGACCATAGTTCATTCTGAAGCCCAGCTAACGCCAGCCCTTTTCTACCCCATGAATACGGCTATAGTTATATCTACCATACACCCAAACGTTAACCAAACTGTAAGTCAACATAAGTCAACCTAGGTCTCATAAATATCATAAATCAGATTAAAATCCAAGTTCTATAGTTATATCTAACAAAACACATCCATACCGACCATGGTTCTGAACCTTGTAAAGCGAGCCATTCTTCGGAGGCCCCACTGTTAGTTTAACCGCTAGTTTAATCTTCATGATGGTTGCTTTTTTACACTCATGATATGGTTGGATTCCCATAATGCCTATAATTTTGTTGAATGACATGTATCATGTGTATATTCATACTAATATGTAAATATAATTATATATATATAACTATATACATATATGACATGCAATGTTTGATTCTTGACATTTGCATATAAGCCTTCAGCATTTCTATGCATTAGCATTGTTGGATGTCCGGTTTCCCAGCTCCCCGTGCTCAGTTGGTTGAACTTCTAGTGCGCACTGGGAACCACGGAACCACATGAAAATCATGAGATTTGAACAAAAAAACACACATTTCACGAAATTTTCCAATTTCAAGATGATTAAATCACATGATTTTCAAATCACCCATGGTTTTAGGGTTCCAAATTTCCACAGATTTTCAAAAACCAAACCCAGGGATCAACCATCAAGTTCCCGAACCACACAGGCATAGTGCGACCTGCTGACTGGCAGCGTGTCGACTGGGAAACACACACAACAAATAACATAAAAGCATAAACACTCAACATTTCAATGGATTGTTGACACAAACAATGGATTATTATTTATCATTTAAAAACAACAACAACAACAACAACAACAACAACAACAACCGATCCAATTTCAATGAATTGATCTTGGGGAGAATCCATTCAATGGACATGTTTCTTACGTCGTTTCCGGTGACATTTTCCCTTTCTCCAATCCAACGACAATTGACTTAGCTGAGCACCTAGTAACGACATGTAACGACGTAGTATTGACAAAGGCCCGGAAAAAAGGCCCTGGAGATCCTTGGCGTACTGATGGATTATCAATGGCATTCAATGGCCCATGGCAATGGTAATATAAAGCTGGTTGGTGGTGCGATAACCATCTTGAAAAATATGAGTCAATGGGAAGGATGACATCCCATATACTCTGGAAAATAAAAACTGTTTGAAACAACCAACCAGAAAACAAATCACTTTTGATGTTCAAGACTAAATTCACCAAAATTTTATTCATGGAAACTCTTCGAACACCAATGGAAATTATATAGGTTAACTTAGTTTCCATGGTTTTGTGTTGACATCTTGTCATTTTTTTGGAGGATGGGTCGATGGGTCCCATGGATGCCATGCTTGGAAGAAACAGCGGCCGCATCATGGGATGCTCCTGGACGCATGTCCCAGGACCAGAAACGAAACGGTCCTGATCAAATCATTGGATTTTCACATCACTCACAGATGCTCCGTGTATAGTATATTTATGTATATTTACCTACAAAACTGGACCATTTGGACTGGGTAAATGTAGGTTTAAATATTCCAGCACCATTGAGCATATGGGACTGAAAAGAACGTGCAAAATGGGAACCCAAACATCCCAGTTTTGAAATGTTTTTTTTTGCGATCCATGAATGTATACAAAAAGTTTAAGGGTTGGAAAAAAAACACGTACTAGATTCCTAGATTCCCCATTGTTTGTGACGCATTCCCCACCGCAGTTCTACCAGGATCTGCACGATCCTCCCGCAAAATGCCAACAAAAACCCTACAGTTCATCATCATATTCACCATTTACACACCAATTCATGAAAATGTTCATGTACTTACCTAAATCATATCCATGGTTGAAATCTCTTACTACACAGTAAATCAGTATATAATCATCATAATGGCCTTATTATAACCCCATGATATCATTATATCCATACTATGGTTTATACCTCCATCTGTGGATGCATGGATGCATTGTTGCATGGTTGCATGCATGCATGCATGCATGTATGTGTGCATGTTCGTTGGTATATCCGTATGTATGGATGTATGTATGCATGTATGTAGCTATGCATTTATGCATATATATATATATATATATAGTCATTGTCGGCCAGTAAGCAGACGTTCGGCCACGCCCGGTGGTTAGCAGATCCCAACATTGGGGGTTCACAGTAACCGGCACTGAAATGTATTTCTGCTTACTGCCCCCCCTAACACCCGAAAAGGAAATCTGCTTACTGGGGGGTGTCCCGGGGTCCCAAGTCAAACCTGGCCGTGATGGAGCACTGGAAAGATCTTTTTTTTGACAAAGAAAACCTGGTTTTAGAAGGTCACAAAGGGTTCCCCCCCCACACCCTGCGTCCTCCCACAATCTGACCAAATACTGAAACACTGCTCCTGCTAGAAAACAGAACTCAATATAATTAAACAATATTTATCTTCCACAAGTTCTACAAACTGGTTGGGGGGCGACACTCTGTAGGGGAGGAAAAACCACATAACCGGTGAAGTTAACATGATTGTTTGCTGTAGTGGTGGAGGGGGGGTGATTAGCCCAGATCCAACATTAAAATAACTTTACTGCAGCTTGGTCATTTTCATGTGGCTGACTGGATTTTGAACTGCTGGCCCACATGGCATAGTAGCAGGCTTGCAAGTAAAGCAGGCAGAAAAGACACAAACATATACACAAATAACTTAAGCTGAAGCTTTGGATTTTCTTTTGTTTTGAGCCTGGAAGAGGCGGTCATCCGAATGGCAGGTGCAGTAAGCAGATTCAAATCGATTATGAACGAAAAAGTTGTGAGTTTCTGCTTACTGGGGGTCCTTTTCTGGATGCCTGATATATATATATATATATGCATTTCTTATTTGCCGGATTTGGCCCTCGAGCGAGTGCAGTAAGCAGAAAAATCTCTTCTTACTACCCGTCAATGACTATATATATATAGGTACGTACGTATGTATGTATGTACGTAGGTATGTAGGTGCTTATAGGTATGCATGCAGGCATGTATGTCCGTCTGTATTTGTGTATAATATGTATGTAGGTATGTATGGAAAAAAATCACGTACGTACGTATGTACGTATGTATGTATGTATGTATGTATGGATGTATGCAGGCATGTAGGGTATGTACTTCATATTAATGTTTGTAATTAAGTATGTATGCATGTATGTAAGCATCTATGAGTGCATGTATCTATCTAGGAAGGCAGGTAGGCATGTAGATAGCTAGGTCGGTAGGTATTTAGGTAAGTAGGTAGGTATGCATGTGTGTTTGTATGCATGTGTGTGTGTGTGTAAGGCGTCAGTACATGTCGGTAGCTTGCAGTAGGTAATGGTCTGGAGGTTTTTTTAGATGCGAGACAAGAGTTCAACAAGGTGTTCTCAGAGGTTGGCTGAGCCGGGGTCGGCGTTATACGGGGCATCGGGGATGGTGAGAGGGCGGAAGAGGAGACGTACAACTGATGTATGGAGCCAGTTGCGGAGCCACGCGCAACTGGGTTCGGGAGTGGGACGAAGGAAGGTGGTGGAGAAAGGAATGGCTGTGCTACATCGCTGTATGCAGAAGGGTCTGCGTGTCGCGGAAGGCGACTTTGTGTATGGCTATGCGCTGCAAGGGTGCACCTGCTAGGTGACCGGTTGTTGCTTAGAGCATTCGTAGGCACTGGCAATCTTTGTTGCAAGTAGGTTATAAGCTGTTGTAATTCCTGTTAGGCTGTTAAGGCTTTAGGTGATATACAAATGCATTTTTTTTGTGAACTGATAAGTAACTCAGCCAGGGTAACTTGTGCACGTATTAAAAATTTGGTGCATTGTTTTTGTTTCATATTTCCCTGTTTGAAAAGAATAATGGGAAAAATGGTGGGGAGGACATAGCGGACAGATGGGAGAAGATGGCGACGAGGGCAGCGCGTGCGATAGCACTGTGAGCGAAGAGATAAGCGATAGAGGCCAGGGAGGAGTCGAAGAGGGGGGGGGCCCAAAGACTGAAACCATTACTCAAACGCTCCAAATCAGGTACGTCCCTAGCGACCCAAAACAAAAGCAAAAGTATTTGTTACACTAAGCGGAGAACTCAGGTAGCTTGGTGCTATCTTCGTGATTTCTCTAGAAATGTCCCACAACCCCCCTGAGATCGCACCGTGCACCGCGGGCAAAGCTTTGTAAGGCGGCCAGCCCTGCGCTATGTGAAGATACGGGCCAAGGGGATGACTAATAATTTTAATAGTGAGGAACATGACATTATCAATGGCGATTGATAGTGAATATTCAACGATTAGATAGTGAAATTGGTTGATTAATTTAACGGTTTGTAGTTTGTGATTCATGGTTGTAGTGATTCATGGTGAATTTAGTTCATTTATTTTCCCATGAATCCCTTCCCCGATCTTTGTAAACACCCCCCAGAAACCATGGTGGATGCAGGGATGAAACGATATATTTGGGACTATTTAGGAAATGTTTAATATGATGAGGATGGAATTGATGATTCACCATCATGAACTATCCTGAATTCAGGCCATTTTGGGATAGTTACAACTACTAACCATTCTTCAAATCACCTCGCGGTGAGGTGTTTCTAACACTATATAGTATAAATACAACATATGTGTATATGGAACACTGAAATATGGATTTATGGGGGGCTACAAAATCATGGGTTTCGATACACAACTAGTTGATAAAAAGTAGGATGAGGGGTTGGCACATAATGGGATAACCACCTAAAATAAATCCCACAATGAAACAGCGATCGTCAATCCAACGTCATCTGCCGACTCCGGCTAGAGCAAGGGGGAGAACGTCAGGGAATTATATAGACATTCAAAATAAATACATGTAATACATCTGTTACATGAGATCATCATCCTTTTTGTTAGATGGAAAAAACAGGCGTTGTTTTTGGCCTAAATTGTTTTGAATTTTGGTCCACTTTTTAACCCTTTGCAGAAACAAATTTCAATCACGAGGCATCTGGAGTTCCAAAATCAAAAGTAGAATAGAGTCCAACCAAATGATTCACATGTATTGACACCTGGTACTCCCGTGTAATTATACCACAAAATCACACAGGTCGCAGTTTGAAGTGCGACCCTTCTTGCCTCATCTACCCAAAGCTCAGGGCACAACAAATCATCATTTGTTGGCAACTCCTCCCACTCACCTAAGGTTGTCTGGAACACGTGTTCCAGAAAAAGGGCTGACTCACCATGAAAACGGCACACGGAGACAAAAAATAACAATGGGAATGTGAGCAGCACAAGGAAAACAGAAACCACACGTAGACATTAATATAAATATATATATATATATATATGTATATATAAATTGTTTTTCCGTTTGTAGGAAAAACCCTTGCAAAACCGATGCTCCATGCAACGTCCTTCAAAAATGTTTCTGACAATCCTGGAAAAAACATCCCAATGTGCTGGTGGCAGTGCGCTATCGGTTCTCCAGCATCAATGGCCCAAAATCATTGGGCCCCATTTGGGGTTGAGAAAATGCCAAGCAGCCATGCATAGCAACATCTGAAAAACGCCCATGGGTGCGGGTGCAACACCTTGAGCCCCATGCTGAATCTCGCTGGTCTCCGACTGTCCTGGACAACAACAGCTCACAGTGCAGGTGTCTCGCCTGCCTTGCTACAGTGTAGCGCGAGACGCTGGCATGTATGAAAAAACGGCGCCAGTGGACTGACAGGTCAAGACCGATATCCATAGACTCAATTCCTAGCGGCCATGTGCGCCGATGGGATCAGTGGATCTTAATCCTTCTTCTGAGATCGCGGCAACAAAGGCAGACATGCGAATTGACTACGCAGTTTCATGCGGGTGAAGTTGTGCCCCCTTACGAATTTGCTCATACCCTAACAATGAATCCTCAGACTCACCACCCATAATTAAGGTCATCCTGATCACTATCACAATATATATATATATATATGACATCGGCAAATATATCCCAGACAGGGTATGGGTGAAGCTGGGTGATCCTTGGGCCTTGGGACGAACCATGGTCGATAGAAACCCTGCAAAGAAGTGAAGCTGTTCCGAGATAAGCTATAGAAGAAAAAAACATGTAGATGTATAAGTCTTTATGTATGTATGTTTGTATGTTTGTATGTATGTTTGTATGTTTTTGTATATGTATATGTATATGTATATGTATATGTATATGTATGTATGTATGAATGTATGTATGTATGTGTATGTATATGTATATGTATATGTATATGTATATGTATATGTATGTATGTATATGTATGTATGTATATGTGTGTATGTATGTATGTATGTATGTGTATGTATGTATGTATGTATGTATATGTATGTATATGTATGTATATGTATGTATATGTATGTATATGTATGTATGTATATGTATGTATGTATGTATGTATGTATGTATGTGTATGTATGTGTGTGTGTATGTATGTGTATGTATGTGTATGTATGTGAATGTATATGTATGTGTATGTATGTGTATGTATGTGTATGTATGTGTATGTATGTGTATGTATGTGCATGTATGTGTATGTATGTGTATGTATGTGTATGTATGTGTATGTATGTGTATGTATGTGTATGTATGTTTGTATGTTTGTATGTATGTATGTATGTATGTATGTGTATGTGTGTGTATGTATGTGTATGTATGTGTATGTATGTGTATGTATGTGTATGTATGTGTATGTATATGTATGTATATGTATGTATATGTATGTATATGTATGTATATGTATGTATATGTATGTATATGTATGTGTATGTATGTATGTATGTATGTATGTATGTGTATGTGTATGTACGTGTATGTACGTGTATGTACGTGTATGTACGTGTATGTACGTGTATGTACGTGTATGTATATGTATATGTATATATGTATGTATGTATGTGTATGTATGTGTATGTGTATGTATGTGTATGTATGTGTATGTATGTGTATGTGTATGTATGTGTATGTATGTGTTATGTATCTTTATGTGTATGTATGTCTGTAGTTGTGTCTGTAGTTGTATCTGTATGTGTATCTGTCTCTGTCTCTCTGTTTGTCTGTCTCTCTGTCTCTCTGTCTGTCTGTCTGTATCTATGTATCTGTGTATGTACGTACGTACGTATGTATGTATGTCTGTGTGTATGTATGTATGTATGTATGTTTGTATGTATGTTTGTATGTATGTATGTATGTGTATGTATGTATGTGTGTATGTGTGTATGTGTGTATGCATGTATGTATGTATGTATGTATGTACGTGTATGTATGTATGTATGTGTATGTATGTGTATGTATGTGTATGTATGTGTATGTATGTGTATGTATGTGTATGTATGTGTATGTATGTGTATGTATGTGTATGTATGCTTGTCCAAGAAGATGGCTCCGCAACTAGATGGCAAAATTTACATTCAAATTACGGTTTGCCCAAAGAAGCATCATCAGATGACTTCTATTTGGATAGTTGATAAGGACTGGCCTCCCATACTAAACAATAGGAAAGTGGACAGTTCGAACAAAGTGCCCCCGCCCTAGATAGCAAAGTTGATTTATAGCTCTAATAACTATGGTTTATGGTGCTTATAGCTTATAACTGTTAATGGGGTTCATAAGCAAGCTTATATATAACTGGGGGGGCCCACTTCGGCTTGAATCTCTTTATCGCAGATCATCTGTTTGGTGGTCTCAACCTCAAAAAATCATGACATTCGAAAAATGTTGGTCAGTATCATCCCCCCAATAGGTTTGAACATACCCTCTGGTAATGGCTGACATAGCTATTGAAAATGGCCATTTATAGTGGATTTTCCCATTAAACATGGTGATTTCCCATAGTTATGTAAACGTTTACCAGAGGGTAAATCATATTTGGAATTGTCTGAAGGGTACCCTTAATTTAGATGCTTTAGATGGAACCTTGACCTGATTATCCTGATTTTTTGGCGGTAAAAAAAAACGAATGAAAAAGTAACCAACCCATGAGGGAAACCACCAACCAGTGAACCAGTAAGCTTGGAGCACCAGCCTTTGGCAAGTTCACCATTGTTCCATTTCACGGCCATGGTAAAAACTCCCAGCCACAGCTAGTTTGGATATGTTTTGATAGGTTTTCCTAAAACGCGTTACAATAATCCCAATAACCCACATAGCATAACTCCCCAAAACCCAAACCCATTAAACATCAATGATCAGTTCTCCCCCTACTTTTGATACGTAAAACCCTTTTAAACCCCCAATAAAACCGTTCTTGTTGTTTCATGCAGTTTCATTCTGAAATCGCCGCGTGGAGTCACCAATCAACCTCCGGGTATAACTTTGGGGTGTTTTTTTGACCTGTGGTAAATGACAAGAAACTGAAACAATCAATAATAACAAACAAATAATATACAATATGATATAATATGCTGTATACATACAACATGTATTCACATGTATGATCATGTATGTGTATATATATATATATGTATGTAAATACATCGGTTGTCATTTATCATAGTATCTTTGTGAAGATCCTCTATATATGTGCAACGGCGACATGACCAAAACTCGTCGACTGGGACATGTCGATGTCATCCGGCTCTGGCTGTCCCGGGCTGGCAACACAAAGCCCAGCACATGGCACACCTGGCCACACCATCTGTGCTCCGTGGAGCTGATTTACCGCTTTCTTAAGTCGTAGGGGACCCACAAGTCACCATAGGTGTTAAACTTGGATGTGCGGATAGCCCCATTTTGGGAAACCTCCAAATAAGAAAACGATTTGTGGGCGGGAAAATGTTGGCAACCATGTCATATGCCGACCGATAGGGGGATCATCCTGTCACGATTTTGGTCAACAGGTGATTTGCAACCATGGGTGGTATGATCTCATTTATATGTGTTATATATATATACATGGATTTCAAAACACGATCCTCCACTGACAAATTCAGTATGGTCAAGGGGTTAGAAAGGACCATCAGTTGGATAGATTTGAGGAGTGATAGCAAAATATTGGCTCTCTCTCCCTCTCCCTATATATATATATATTATATACTTATAAGTATGTGATTCATGGGCACATGTGCAAACATTTTGAACATAATCAATGGAATGACAGTGTTTGAACGGTCCTCTCTAGTTGAGATGCATAAAGGACATGTACCCAATTCTCATGTCACTTGGGTAATAACACCACGATAAGTTAGCATCTGTACCTAGCATGATATTCTGCTAGAAAACTAATCTAAGTTATATAATGATTGTAATTTCAAAAAAAAACATTGCGAGTGTGTTGGGTAACAATTTTCAAATCGATCTACGGAATAAACCCAGAACGTATAAACTCATTGCCATGGTTGCAAGGCACTTATTCTCTTGTTGATAGGCAATCAATGTAAAACATCAACTTTTTGATTGATGATTGGTCGAAAGTTTATTTTTTATTTTTATGTTTTTTTAAAAACAACATCTACTGTGTTTCTTGGTGTCCATGTCCCCAAAACTAAAGCTGCAGTTAATTCAAACATGTTTCCCCCCACTGTGCTCAGCTTCTTGGTGCCCCAAAATGAGGGATACCCTGGGGTAAATATAATTACAAAAGCTATGTATAGATCTGAAAAACCTGGCAGCTTTCCCGTGAAAATGATATATCAACAGTGGGTTCAAAACACATCCATGTCAGTTTTCAAACGCTTTCTTTGCCCATTGATTGAATCCACCCGTCAAAAAAAAACATGTTTCCATAGATGTTTCCTATGGGTATAGCCGTCATTTTGGAGACTTAAGCATGTGAAAACATCTTAAGACACACACACACAAATATCATACTATTGGTTCTATGTCCGATGATATCCCTAAAACATGGTTGGTTCTGTACCGCGTTGTCGGGTGTTGGAAACCCTATTTTTGTTCCGGCCTCATGCAGGGAATTTCGCAGCGCTGCATGTTTTGTCTTCTGAAAGTCATCAACCAGCAACACCTGGCGTCAGATTCATTGGCGGCCAGCATGGGATGTATGGGGATGTCTGGGGATAGATTCAAGAACAAATCTCATTTGATAGTTGGGTTGGTTTGTCTGAAAATGTGTTAGCAACAATGATAACCCAAAAAGGAACAATGATGATAAACCCTGGAATTCTATGAAGTACCACATTTTCCCAGAAACCCCAGATGTGATCTACTTGCTAAGAAACACTTAAGACTTAAGTTGGATGGTATACAATGGTATACTAATTTAATCATGACCAACTCCTGATCGGGGGGAGTTCAGCAAAATAGACACCAGCAGCAAAGATGATACTGATGATGTCCGCCCAAACTTCGGACCTTGAAACCCCGCGGAAATACCAGGCGTCACAACATGTGACCAGCCCATGGCAGGATAACAGTTCTACCCTTTGATAAATGATGCATCATCAGGGCCTCCGATTTCAACGATGAATCTGGATTTGGAAGCGCAATAGCATGCAACAGCTACTTTAGCTTGGGGGCCCTTGTTGTGTTCTCTGTCCAGTGTTATTCTCGTGTTTAAAGGGGCTCAAAATCGCCTAAGTTGCCAAGCTTGGGCTCAACATGGCCCAAAATAGGCCCAACATAGGCCGAACATGGGCCCAACGCAGGCCCAACATAGGCAACACAGGCCCATCATAGGCAACACAGGCCCAACATAGTCCCAACAAGCTTAATTCACCATAGGTCTTATAAACTCAACATGGATCCAACATAGACCTAGAATGCCCCAACACGCAACATGGGCCCAATGTAGGCCCAACATGGGCCCAAGATACTCCCAACATGAGCCCTACCAAAACTCCGGAACGGTCGATTTCCGTCACCATTCGCGATCAAGTCATTCGGTCATTCTGGAATAGTTCATAGTTACCCTCTGGTAATTTAACATAGCTATGGAAAATCACCATTTTCAATGGGTAAATCCACTATTTCGACTGGGCCATGTTCAATAGCTATTTTGACATAACCAGAGGGTACCCCTAGTGACGAAGTATTAATTCCGGTGACGTCGTGGTGAGTTATAGTTGTCCCATTTCTTTATTTTCTTCAAAAACACGTAACTGTTTGGTGGTATCATTGGATTGGTTTAAGGGAAAATCTACAGGAAACCATGGTTTTTACCATCAAATATAGGGCTTTCCTGTAAATTTTCCCATCATCCAATTCTATGATGGTATACCTACTTCTCTGAAAAATGATGGAGTTCGTCAGTTGGGATGATGAAGATCTCCCAATATATGGAAAGTCATAAAAGCCATGTTCCAAACCACCAACCAGATATAATGCATCATATATGTGCAATATCCATGTTTATCATTGTGTATGATCAACTATCCGATTCCACATAGTAAATCCATCATCACGGACTGAAAGATAAGAAACTACCATGTTGGTCTGATTCCAGCCATTTACGGACCCAGTTGTGGTTCCCGTAAAAGACCACGAAAGTTGCGGCCTACCTGACCGTTGCTGCTCAACTCATGTCTGGCGCTGGACACATGGCGCCGCCTCAACGCTGCAACGAAGGATAACTTATCAGATCAAAAATGATGAACGCTACATAAACAACAATGTAGGGCCCCCTAGATAGCTAAATTGGTTTACAACTCCAATAACTATGGTTTATGGTACTTATAACTATAGTTATTGGGGCTTAAAAACCAATTTAGCTATCTAGGGGGCCCCACATTGTTGTTAATGTCTCATATAGAATTAAGTATACAATTGTATATGTATATATTATAGCACAATGCATACAGAACTCTGTATATATATACATATGTAACGTAAGTAATGTGTATTATATATATATATATATGTTATAATATATTGTATCATACAAATATATCATATAAATCAAATGCATATAATGTACAGTAAATGCAATCACTGATATGTTCTCGGTTGATGCATATGCATATGATAAACTGATAAACCACCGAATATTAACATATGCATATGCATATGCATCAACAAAAACAGATCAATGATTGCACAGACATTACATGCATTTAAACCATGGATATCATGAAAAACGCCCAAAATGGAGGCACACACAGAATAGGAACATATTGAAGATCTTGCTGGGTGAATTCGGATGATTCGGTGACACAAAGTGCTGCGGAGCATCGTCAGTTGATTTCTTAACCCAACATCATCCAACTATGGTTATAACATATAACTAGCATTTTTACCCAATAGTGAGGCCAGGCAAACCTATAACATCCAATGGTCTACCATACTATGGATTTCTTACCAACACCTATAATTTTCCCAATGTTGTAACTACCATTTTTACCCATCCAAATTCATCCCATCCTGAGCTTCCCTGCGAGACTCCAGGCAATTCCGGCCTCAGAGCAGCCACTTTTTTGTTGGTAAAACACGATGGTAACCATCCCCAATCACCATAAATATAGGTGGTATGGTTACCATTGTCATGGGTGGTTTATGACCTTGTTTTAACCACACTACTAGACTAATGGAGACTAATGGATTGATTTCTGGGAAACATGTTGCACAAGACCATGGTGAAATTACCATGAAACACTGCTGCTTCCTTCAGGATTTCCCTCAAACCAGCTTGGACTACAGTGACTACAGGACGTTTACAGCCCGGATTAAGTCAACTATGGATCAACCCCATAGGATCCATGTATGCTATATATGGTAACATTTACCATCAATATACCCCCAATGTTAGCATATATACCATACATGGATCCTATGGATCAACATTCACACACGTTGACATTCCGCAGCTGAACTCAGCGAACTCTTCCCGTTTTTCAGCCGTTTAAGCGTCCAGCAACCGTGATGTCACAGGCTCTGCCAAATGTCCTGAGAACTTGTGCAACCAATGCGGTAGCTCCTGCAACGCACGTTGCAAGACCTGGACGCCAACTCTTCAAATGGGTATGGATCAATACCTATTAATACCATTTTTAGTGGGATGAACATCCATTTACCAGCTATTTTGGGGTTCACTAGGTACCAGGGTTTTGACCCATCCCCAAATTGTTAACGCCTCAGGGTCCCAGTTAAAGCTCTGTCCCCTCTTTCGACAAAGTGATCAAACTGGTACCCTTCAAACCATGACACGCCGTTAAACATGAGCCATGTATTCAGTTACCCTCTGGTAAACTAACATAACTATGGAAAATCACAATTTTTAATGGGACAATCCACTATTAATGGTCATTTTCAATAGCTACGTTAAATTACCAGAGGGTAGATACATCTAGATACGGTGTGACAATCAACAAATGAGGTAGAAACGTGTTTCGAGGATGTTACCATGTTTTTTTTCATGATGTATTCTCCCGCTTTTCCTCCCAAAATCGTTTCTCCAGGTTCCAACTGTTCTTTCCAACATTCGGTCCGGGTATCCGTACCCGTCCTTGTCAAAAGCCTTCAACGCACTCTCCTGCAAGATTTCATCGGCGCTACCTTCTAGGACATGTCCTGTGGGGAGAATTGTTCTGCGCTGCGAGTGTGTTGTGAAAAATGGTGATTTCAGGGGAAATCATGGGAATATCTATGGAATATCCCCATCAATATACTCATTATATCCCAGGTCTCGTAGATTTTAAACCCCAAAAAAACTCTATTCTTGGTGGTTGTCCTGTGGATGGACAAGCCATTCTGTACCAGTCGGTGACACATTGGGATTCCGATGGGACTTTTGCCATCCACCAACTCGTGCAGGATTTTGCCACCATCCACGGACCAAACAAAAAAGGTGACGAAGTTAGTGAAACAAACAGCAGGGGATCTTCGTCACACTCTGGTTGGTGGTATACCTACCCCTCTGAAAAATGGTGGAGTTCGTCAGTTGGGATTATGAAATTCCCAATATATTGAAAGTCATAAAATTCCATGGTTCCAAACCACCAAGTAGCACTATGTTAATGATATATACTCTAGCAGTTCAGCTAGCAAATTTGCTGCTATGACCAACCAAAACGGGGATGTTATCGGTACAGAACCATACATAACCATCAATGGGGGTACCCCCCAAAAAAAAGGATTGTTTATTTCATGAAACATGATCATACATGGGGTAACACCATTTTACTTAGGAACCTCCTTTTGGGGCTGGGTAATAAGGACACGTCCATCAGATGTCCGGTGAATTTGAGGACTCAAGCAACTGTGATTCAGCCAGAAGTTGGAGAATTAAGGAACAAAACTTGTGATTGAACCAATTTCCTTACGAGTTGCTAATCAAAGTTGGGGTACTACTAGCAACTGGGGTAATATCTTCCTTTAGTTGCAACTTGTTGGGCTAATCAAAGTTGGGGCCCCGTGCAGCAAAGAAAAACGGTTTCCTACGGTTCCAAAAACGGGAAACGTTGGAAGCAAAGACGGGGATTGGTGCCCAGATTTTGCTGGGATTTAGTTGCAACCAATTGGGTAATGTCAAAATTCAAGACCACGCCAGAGATTCTGGTTGACGACTGAAAATTTTGGTTAAAATTCTGGTCGCAGGCAGGCAGGCACCTCGTTTTTTTGGTTTGTGCTTCAATGCTTCCAAGTCCTAAAAAAAATTTAAAGCAGCTGCATTTGTCATCCCAAAATATCCCAAATAGGTTTGCAAACTTTGCACCTGAAGATACTGTGGATGTGCAATCCTGCACCAGTTCGTAGATGGTCAGTATCCCATTCTATTCCCATGAAATTTCCCCATGTTTCATACAAGGTGGTGCCAAATAGTTCGCCAAGTTGGTGCACATAACTCCAACAACTTGGGTTTATAGTAGATATATCTATACTTCATGCGGGTTATAAACCAACTTATAACTAGGGATTCCCACCCTGTAGGAATTCCACTAGTTGCCCAACTGGTGCAGGATTTTTTCCCGTAGCAGGTCCCAAACTTCCTCTGCTGAACCCCCAGTCTCTGAAGTGCGAAGCCTGCGGAGAACGAGGCGGTTCCACATCCCATGGGAACACATAGGAATGGAAATACCAAGCGATATTCTAAAATCTATAACCTGCTATAACGTATTATAACCGATGTAACCAATAACAAATGGGAATATGGATCCAAAATTCGAAGATTTTAGACTAAACAATAGTAACAAGAAACCAATAACTAGTAACTAGAAATAAACCAACAGAATTTTATATATAATGGAACCAACCCTAAACACTAGAACAAACCTGAGTTGTATAACCCAAACTATTATAACCAATATTATTAACAACACTAAACAATCAATTCTTAGAATGTATGGGGCTTGAAGAAATCTAACACACAAATAAGCACTTGGTTTCTGCCAACTGAGTATCTGGCTGTGCCAAGAAATCCAAATGCCAAACACCAACTACTATCAGCTCTTAAAAACACCATGTTAGGCTGCACAGGCACCATGTTCGTTCAAACAAAATTATTTAATCATGGATGTGTCTGAAACAGTCCCATTGCCATGTTTGATTAACAGAGGCCGGCAACTACAGTATAACACGCATGGGTTTGTCTCATGTGATTTTTCCCCATTGACATGCCGTCTTCTGGTGCATACCTCAATTTCAGGCACACCGGCTTGATATTGGGGATCAAGCTGATTGAACCAAGAAATCATGGGCTCCCAAGAATCTCGATTGGCTAGTGAGATAGTATAGATAAATAAACAGATAGATAGATAGATAGGTAGGTAGGTAGGTAGATAGAGAGAGATAGAGAGATAGATTAGACAGATAGATAGAAAGAAAGATCGATAGATAGGTAGATAGATAGATAGATAGATCGATAGATAGATAGATAGAAAGAAAGATCGATAGATAGGTAGATAGATAGATAGCTAGCTAGCTAGATAGATAGATAGATAGGTAAATAGGTAGGTAGATAGAAAGATAGGTAGGTAGATAGATAGATAGAAAAACAAAAAAAACAAATAGATAGGTAGATAGGTAGATAGATAGATAGGTAGATAGATAGATAGGTAGATAGGTACATAGGTACATACATAGATAGATAGATAGATAGATAGAAATATAGAGAGACAGATAGGTAAGATAAGATAAGATAAGGAAAAGATAAGATAAGAAAAACAAAATAAGAACAGATAAGATAGACAGATGGATAGGTAGATAAATATTTATATATATATATAGATGGATAGATAGATAGATAGATAGATGGACAGATAGATAGATGGATAGATGGATAGATGGATAGATGGATAGATGGATAGATGGATAGATGGATAGATGGATAGATAGATAGATAGATAGAAAGATAGATAGATACATAGATAGATAGATAAAATAGATAAGATAGAAACGATAAATAAGATAGATAAGATAGATAAGATAGATACGGTAGATAAGATAGATAAGATAGATAAGATAGATAAAATAGATAAGATAGATAAGATAGATAAGATAGAGAGATAGATAGATAGATAGATAGATGGACAGATAGATAGATAGATAGATAGATAAATAGATAGATAGATAGATTAGATTAGATAGATAGATAGACAGACAGATAGATAGATAGATAGAGAGATAGATAGATAGATAGATAGATAGATAGATAGATTGGATTAGATAGATAGATAGACAAACAGACAGATAGATAGATAGAAAGAAAGAAGTATAGATAGATAGATAGATAGGCAGATAGACAAATAGATAGGATAGGATAGGATAGGATCAGATAAGAAAATATTACATAGCCAGATAGATAGAAAGACAGACATACAAACAGACAGACAGACAGATAGATAGATACATAGATACATTTATACATAGATACATGGATAGGGAGGGAGATAGATGGATGGATGGATGGATGGATAGATTGACAGATCGATATATAGATAGATAGATAGACAGGTAGATAGATAGATAGACTGATGAACAAACAGGCAGATAGACAGATCGATAGGTAGATAGATAGGTCGATAGATCAATAGATGAGACAAATGAGATAGATGAGATAGATGAGATAGATGAGATGATATATGAGATGATATATGAGATAGATGAGATAGATGAGATAGATCAGATAGATGAGATAGATGGGATAGATGAGATAGATGAGATAGATGAGATAGATGAGATAGATTAAACAAAAAACAGTAAGAAAGAAAGAAAGAAAGAAATACAGAGAGAAAGAGAGATAGATAGAAAGACAAATAGATAGACAAACAGGCAAATAGATAGACAAACAGACACATAGATAGATAGATAGATAGATAGATAGATGGATAGATAGATAGATAGATAGATGGAGGGATACACAGAAAGACAGATAGATAGACAGATAGACAGACAGACAGACAGGCAGACAAACAGACAGACAGACAGATAGATAGATGAGATAGATGAAATAAATCAAATATATGAGATAGATGAGATAGATAAGATAGATGAGACAGATGAGATAGATGAGATAGATGAGATAGATGAGATAGATGAGACAGATAAGAAAGAAAGAAAGAAAGAAAGAACGAAAGAAAGACAACAAGAAAGGAAAAAATAAAGAACAAAAGAAAGAAAGAAAGAAAGAACGAAAGAAATAACAAAAGAAAGAACGAAAGAAAGAAATAAAGAAAGAACGAAAAAAATATAGATAGATCGATAGATAGATAGATAGACAGACAGATAGATAGATAAATAGATAGATAGATAGATAGATAGATACATAGATAGACAGACAAACAAACAAACAGATAGATCGGTAGGTAGATAGATAATTGAAAGATATTGAACACATATTATATGTCCTGCATGTATGTACGTATGAAAAGCTACAACTAAAGCAGCCACATAGTTTCACGAGCCCTGCGCACATCTGAAGTGTTGCAGTTCCATGTTGTTCCACTCTGAGAGTTTCCTTCCCAGCAATCCCTTCTCCCAATTCAACAAAAATCACCCCCTAGAAACCTTGGTTTAGTAAGGGATATGGAAGTTTTCCTAAAATGGAGGTTTCCTAATTTGGAGGTTTCCTAAAATGAGGGCTACCCGCAAATCATCATCCAAGTCATGGATGACCACTTTAGCATTAAAATCCTGTGAGGACTGGGGATCCCCCTATGACTTAAGAAAGCCCCATGGTAGCACCCGCCTCCCCATAGACGTTGGCCTGACATGGTCGAGATATCAAGAGTTCAGTGGGAAATATATATAGCATAAAATAATCTGGATTATAGATAAAAGGAAAAGTGAATGGAATATCAAATATCTTTGTTTGGCGAAGGTTTTTGGGAAAGGCCTTTCATGGCTGCAATCCAAATCATCCACTTAGATATTCCTAGGCCACTTGATGCCAACTTACTATGATTCAATAGCGCCGTCCTTGCGAAGCAAACCCAACGCCGACATAAAACACCTCGATGTCAAGACTTTAATCGGAGTCGGATGGGTCAAATAACAGAAGATCTTGGGAAGCTCTGAACACCACTTGGACCCACTTAAAATGGTGGCTTGGATGAATTCAATTCATTTTGTTTCACAACGTTTGACCCCTTAAGTGACGATTGATTCAACGAACCTCCCTCATGGTTCCTTCATGTTGGTGATCTTGCGAATGATAGATGCTCAAAGATTCGGCCTGATTACTTGTTCGTGCTTATAATTTCCTATAATCTGTCTGTTTGTTTGAATCCATCGTTAAATCCCCATTTTGGCATCCCTTTATCCCATTGGTGGTACCACCTCTCTGCCAGAATCGCAGCTTTTTGCATGGGGATGGTCACATAGAATTCATGCTGCACATGCGCTGACTCTGACAGCGAAAACAGAGCTATTTCCTGTGGATTTTGGATGACTTTGGTCAAGTTACTTGGAAAAATGCAGATCAGAAATCCATTTACCATCATTTACCCATCATTTACCCATCCTTTACCCCGTTTCCGATGTGGAAAAGCCATGGGCCAGCCCCTTCTTGGCCTCATGGCTTTTCCACATCTCTGACAGGGAAACAAGTCACCTACCATACCCTCTGGTAAACGTTTACATAACTGTTTGGAGAATCACCATGCTATCCATAACTGCTTGGTGGTTGAAAAACCAAGCCCTCTGAAAAATGATGGACAACTCGTCACCTGGGATGATGAAATTCCCAAAATATGGAAAGTCATAAAATTCATGTTCCAAACCACCAACCAGGCTAAAATGATAATTTTATATCAAAGCTTAGGTAAACTGTTTCACGATATTTTTGAATCGAACTAAATGGTGGCTTCGCTTAGATGCTAATTGAGTTGTGGGATGATCTGCGCTTGACATGGATGGAAAGTAAAACAATATGTTTCAACCATTTCAAATCCTTAGTAGAGATATAAATGGATATATATATATGATTATAATATGAATCCAATATGAATGTATCAAACAATTATATGGAATTATCACTAATCTCCGTTTGCTTCGAGGATCATTCCTCGAACATTGAGCTGCCAATACCATGTCACCATGCTGTCTTGGAGCTCATGCGCAGCACCCAAAAACCTTCACGCACACATCCAAATGCCAGAACCATGGATCCGTGGTATTGCCAATTGTTCAAACCCGGAAGCTGTGAAACTCCAAGATGCTAAGATGGATTCAAACAAACATCACACACAAACCGTCCAATACTGGCCAGAATATAGATAAGTTATGAAAAATTATATTAAATTGATATAAATTATGATAAATTGATGTATATGAGTGTAGTTCTATTCTTCATCTACAACGTGTTGCAGCTTTCTGTCTGCCCAAAATCAGCAGATATTCCACCACCATGGCGATGCATCCAAAAGAATTGAAATCACCGTCATCATCCTGATAAATGACCCACGGATGGTCAACATAGACTTGTCATGCCAGGCAGTACCCCTTTGCAATTAGCAGCACGTGCTAGCACGTGGTACCGCTGGATGACGCTGGACTTCTTGCAAGACAAACAAAACAGGATGCTAACAAGCAATAAAAGTGACGATTCATCTTCAATAAACAATCAGTTGAGCCCGCTGGAAAAAAAAACGATCCCGGGGCGAGCTGGCGCAAGTTGGCCATTTCAGTTGCATTTTTTTCGCCGCGCAGATGTTTGCGTCCATTCCTGTTTGTAACGGCAATGCATCTGCGCCAAAAAAGGTCCCAGCACGCCTTTGAGCTTGCTGTAGACCCACCGTACATCACCAGCGATGCTGAAACGGCCACGGCCAGACTCGACATGTGCCGGGTCGTTGTTCTTTCTTTCGTTGTTGGAAATTCATGGGCGCCGCGCAAGAACCGTGAAGATCTGCATTTCCATGTTGGGAAGCACCTACAGTGAAACTGCATTGACACTAACATCAAATAACCTGATACCTGCACCATCTTCCCTAGTGAACCAACATCACAAAAAATCACAGGATCTCGGCAAACATGTGCAAACTATGATACCCTCTGGTTATTTAACAGTTTGCCATGGTATAGATGGCCCATGTATAGATGGTTTACCTATCAAAAATGGTGATTTTCCATGGCTCTGTTAAATCACCAGAGGGTAATTCAGAAACATTCAGAAATCCAAACAAGTAAAGAACCGAACAAATAACAATACTTCACTCGCCGGAAAATTCACTCGCAGAATCTGCGAGTGAAGCCCCCTGAAATCATGGTCGTTTCCGGGGAATCTTCGCTGTCCGAGACCTCTCAGGATGCTTACCCGAAGGATCCCGATCCGGATCCGGATCCCGCAAATTTATGGTGCTTCGATGCTAGCGATCATCACGATTCTGCAACTGTTTGTCTTCAGTCTGGCGCTTGATATCAAACACTCTGTAGGAAATGCCTGTACAACATCTTTCCAAAAGGAGGAGCAAAATTGTTTCTATAGCACAATGTGCCACTAAAGACTGAAAGTGTCCTGTCTGCTCTGGGCGGGAGGCAAACAGAAATTGCATTTCTAAACTAGGATTGCCGGATATTGCCGGATTGCCTGTGAACGAACGGGTGATTGTATCAATGGAACGATTTAAGAGAATATTTACAGGGAAGCATCGGTTGAACCTGAAAGAATATAAGGCTATAGGGGTTCCCGGTAGATTTTCCCATCCATGTCTGGGAGTGTTTCATCCAAGAATGATAGGATTGCCACGCTCCCACATCCATGGTGTGATTGAAATGAGAGCCTTATATCATATATTGTATCTAATCTATACATATTTATATGTATATATATTAAAATATATCATAAGTTATCGTGTAGCTAGGTTCATAACACTCAGAAGGCCGATGGCCTTTTCACATCAGCGACTGTCCACAATTGGGGACCCCATTACTGTAGATATTTCAACCATTTTCAACCACTAAAATTTTGCAAAACGCATAGGTGCAAATTTTCACATATCTATCATTTGAGGACCACTTTGTAAAACAACTGGTGAAATTAACCGGTTCCCAACTGGGTCCCAACTGGGTCCATTCAGTCCATAGGGACACCGTGGGACACTAAACATCCGCAAGTAACTTGGGACCATCATCCGATATATTGGCACCAATGCAGGTGACCATGGGGGTTTCCATAGTCATGGGGATACCCCAAGAGCTGGATGGTTTATTTCATGAAAAATCCCAGGTGGATGATTTAGGGGTATCCCTATTTTAGGAAACCTCCATAAGACCATCAAAGTACCTAAGTCACCTGACCCATGAGAACAACTCATCTTGCATCGAAAAACTGAAAGTAAAAAAATGTCAAACCTAATTATCCCCACGAGCAGACGATACCTAAGGTGCCAAAGGCATCCAATGGTTCGAAAAGTTGGCACGTGCTATCAAAATCATTTCTGGGAAAGAAATGCCTGTCACCGCTGCGAGTTCCATAAGTCTGGATACAGCGGGCAACCCTTTATTGGAAAATCAACAAATCTAGTATTTCCGGAATGGTCGTCAATTGTCCAACAATTTAAGGAAGGCTTCTGAAAATTTCATGACCAGAAAAAACAAAAATAAACACAGGATGTATCACTCGATCTTCCACAATTACAAAGATAAGGAAGTTCACGCAGAATTGAAGGGCCTATGATTTTTTTTTCGTGCCCAGAGGTCAATACCAAATCACCAATCCCCAATTTCTGGTTTATGATTCCTCTACTCGGGATGAGAAATTTCCATCATCCCCAAACTGTTTATCAAGTGGGCCCCGTGCTGCAGATAGCTCCAATAACATCCAATAACTACGGTTTGTGATATCCGAAACATTCCGAAACTATACTACTTAATGGGGTCTCAAAACGAACTTATAGCTGAGGGCCCACATTGTATGGCATTGTGGATCCAAAACATATCTCCAATATTGGGTTGGTAAACATTATGTCGCTTGGTGGTTGCTGCAACCCCCTGAGAAAAGGTATGAAGATTTGCTTGTTCATCGGATCGCCCCGGATACGATGAAGAATAAAACCATATTTCAAACCACCACTTTCTCCACTTTCGGCAGCGCGCTGCTTTGGTCGGCGAAAGCAGCCCTATTCACTACAAAACGCTACGGCTCACCCGGGGAAATTGTCATCCTAACGGGCAACAGCAGTCGGTCCATGTCTTTGGACTGCCTTCTGTACGGTTTGGTCGGTAAAATGCATCATCCACCAATCTGCACAAGTCTTGCTACCGGCCACGGAACTGCCAGGTATCCAGTGTGCATGGCTATCATCTGGCTGCACGGACGCACATAGCCACTTGGCACCGAACACCCAGCGTGGCGAAGCACTTCCTTCAGGACCTTGGCGAACCACCGCGCTCTCGTCTTGAAAGAGACAGAGCGCAACTCCCGGAAAGGAAGGGTGGCACCATCTTTCCATCCTCCCGGTTGACTGGGCCAACTTCTCCATTGGCACACACAAAGTCAGTGAAAAGTTCTGCATGAGCAACCCAAGCAATCTCTGCTTCAACGGAATCAAGGACACCCCAGAACCAAGTCACCAACTTCGCCACAATCTCATGGCCATACCATCGAGTGGCACCTACTGGCATCTCCGAGATTCAGAGCTTTGATCACTCTCTGTTTGCAACAACTTACGACTCACCAGCAGCAAAACCGTCTGAATATCAAGATTTCACTTGTCAACTTGAATGCAAGCAGCAACATGACGACGCAGGAGATCCCAAAACATG